GTGTTAATCCTGACGAGAAGATGAGCATTTGCTCTTCGACTCCGCAACACGGGGGATATACAAATTCCAGCTTGCTAGAAGGTGATGTGAAAGTGAGAAAATGTCATGCAATGCTATTCTTAAGAAACTGTATGAGCCGAAAATGGATGTAATTTTGACCATTCGCTTCAAAATAACAGCGGAAATCGAGATAACAAAACATATGTTTTTGTGTCCTACTTTGCAGACGAGGACGTGTATCGGCGTTTTGAAAAGCATAATTATGCTCTGTCATTCATTCATTGCCATGGAATATGCGTTTACATTGTTTTTTCACTGTTAATAGCTCGGTTAATGCGGCTGGCGATCATCTTGCCGGCGGAAGTTTCATGGAAAAGGAATAAAATGGAAGACTTTTCCGAACGATTTCGTAATCAGCCTCTGTGGTGAAGTGGTTAGGTGTAGTCCCGTCGAGTCGAAGGTGCCGGGTTCGAGTTCTACCGAATTATTAATTGCTTTTTTTTTTTTTTCTGTTTTTGTGTTGTTGTTTTCTATAAAATTTCCATATAGCTAAATAACTGTTACTTAATAAAGTGCAACAAACAGCAAGAAAAGTATTGTGTTTCCAGAGAAAATATCGTGCACCGCATATTAAATATATGGATAAACAATCTGATTTTCTATTATTTCCTACAATTTACTGTGCGAAAACCAGAGTTGATAACCACTTGATCATTTTCTAAATAACGTTCCCACGAGTCCTTTCTATAGACTGATAGTAATTATTCTAGTACTTTCCAACATGTAAATAGGACATTCAATGTCATTTTTGATTCTTTTAAGTCTCACTGCCTAACTAATGCCAGTATCAACAGAATGTGCCGCAGCATTACTATCTTTTAGATACCCTAGTTTTATAACTATAGTAGGTGGACTTTTAGCATAAAATAATATTATAACCTTCCGATTTGCACTGAGAAAAAAACAGTTAAAAGAGAAGAAGACATGTCCACTTTCAATCATTCATACCTATTGGCTGTGGAGAATCCTCAAACGCGCGCGATCTGCAGTAATGTTTTCTGTCAACTCGACGGAGAGCTTCTTCGACCCGTGCACTTTTCAATACGCCATGATCTAAATCAAAGCGATTTTTAGGGTTAAAAATTCTACCTTGAACAAGGCATTAAAATGCATAATACCTTTAAGTTGGTCGATAAGATCACTGTTGCTTGAGCCATGAGATCTCCACGCCATATTTCGTAAAATTTGTGCAAATCTACTTGCAACTCCCATCCGACATGACAGTTTACATTCGCTGCGCCGCGCATCTTAAAATAGCTGTCAACTGCTGGTTGAAAGTGCGTCACTTCATTCAAGATGGCGGACGATTCTGAGGCCATCCAATTTGTCGGATTTTTTGAAATCTCTCTGCAGTAACGAAATTCATTGACAGAGATTTCTGCAGCTATGATTACAGATCATTATTTTCACGTGGTTGTTTCAAAGGTGACAATTTAAGTACGCTTGTTTACTGTTAATTTTTTGCAATTCTCCTCAGTCCTGGCGCGAAGAAAAAGCCATTCTTAGTTCTTTCACCGCCTCGGCATAAAAGGCTATGTTTGTAGTTGGACGAAGGTGTGCCCCTCTGTACGGGAGATCAGTAGCAAATCTCTTATTTACGCCAAAAGGTAAAGTTGTTACGTACTTGTACCAGACTTAAATTTAGTTTAGCCCTGGGAATCCCCCTCGAGGCAGTAGTAGCAAGGAGGGCGCTCGAGTACATTGATAGCTTACACATTTTATTGGCATGGAACCACCGAATAGAGGAGAAAAGAGAAAATATAAACCTGCATGCACTTTACCATTACAGTGTGTTCAGATACCAAAGTGACAGTTCATTTTTTTTGTCATGTAAATTCGCCACTTTAGTAAGGAGAAGGAACTAAGCCGAGTTAACTTTCGCAAAGACTTCTGGGATGGTCACTAGGTACAGCGAAAAAAACATCCGGAAACACCCGGAAACAATTAAAGGGTTTCTTGGAAAATGGGCGCTTTTGACTGTTTACTATTACAAGTGTCCCTTCTTTAAGAAACACTTCAATTGCAAGATGCCTTTTGGCCCTTGTGCCCTTCTTGTTTGTAAAATGGCGAATGTACATGTACCAACCATCAGCAGAGTTAGAGGGGGCAAGATGGCTGACACCCACCTCGTACTGTGTCTGTATTACTGTTTAGGTTAAAAAAAAATCTATAAAAGTCTGTCTTCCAGGCGCCAGTTGTTCAAAAGGTTTTAAGTGTTATCCTGTATCCAGTGGGTGATGCATTATTGCTTTCCCAAAACTTGTCTGCTGGTGATTTATCCAGTGGCTAGGGCTATTCAAAATTTGAACAACTGAGCCAATTGCTGTAGCAGCTCTTCTGCCAATATTAGCCTCGGTTATAGCTGGTTGGCATATCATTATTAACTGGTGATGTAACAGATCATTGTGTCTTATTGCTTATTTTTCTGTTACTTTCTTACTCTTCAAATCAGAGATTTCATATTGCCATGTGGCTGCCCACTTTACCTGAAATCAGGTCTTTAGCCTAAATGTAGCTGTACCCTCCCCCCCCCCCCCCACGTGCCTAAGAGAAAATGGAGGGATTTTCCCTCCCTTCAACTTTTCCAGGACTCTGACAATGACCCAGTGTGTTGGCAGTGACTTTCATGAGAGAAAAAGTGAGAACTCAACCCTGTGTAGGCATAAGAGGTTTGAGCTCCTTTGGACAGGCTACAAAAATTTCAGGTTATTATAAAGATCTCTATGTGTTTTCAGGCTGGTTAAAAATGCAGTTCTTTGGAGACATGTCAGATCAGTCATTCTGGAACAATTTTTATACAAGTCGTCAAGGCAACAAACACTTTGACTGGTTTGTGCATTTTGAAGACGTCAGTGGATACCTCGCCCCCTACCTACCATCTCTCGGGAACAATTGCCCTATTCCGAGAATCATTGACATTGGCTCTGGTACCTCAGATTTCAGCTTGAAGCTTTTCAATCACCTAAACAGAAAATGTTGTATAGATCTAGTTGACTTTTCACCCGAGGCAATTAAAATCATGCAGAAAATTCTCCTTGAACAAGGTCTTCTCAAGAAAAGTGTCAATCCAGAAGACTTTCCAGGCATTGCATGTCACCGAGCTGACGCTAGGAATTTACCATTTAAAGAACATACGTTCTCGCTCGCTCTTGATAAGGGAACTTCTGATGCAGTGTTGAAGGGAACTGATGGAGAAACAGCCTTTGTGGATGTGGTTCAAGAATCATTGCGTGTGTTAAAACCCAGTGGAAAGCTAATTCAGTTTTCTGATGAGCCTCCTGAAATGCGACTCAACCTCTTAGAAAAAGTCAAACAAGAGGTAATGCGCACAAACTTGAACACAAAGAATTGTAAGCTATGTTTTATATGGCGTGAATTAGAAATTAACACTGGTTTTCAACATTTTATGTATGTCGTCCACAAAGAAAACTGCTGAATTAAAACTTCTGCTTTTATCATGCTTATTTGGAGGGAGAGACTACAGGAAGGTTTGCATTTAAAATGGTTAAAGTAGAGCTGCCACCGGCCGATACTAATGTTTACCAAGAGTTGTAATAAAAAGGGTTCAAAGATGATGCTGGACTGACTGATAATATATCCATGTGGTAACAAGTACTGCTTTTTGCGCGCTTTTTCTGGTCCTTTGTTAGCTGTTTCAAGGATAAGGTGAGTGTTAACTTGTTTAGTTTACAGCTGTAAGTGTTAAAATTACTTTTAGGAACGTTAAAAACACGTTATGTCATTGTAATGATGGTCATTCTCCCTGTTCGTGGAGAAAGGTGACATGACACGTTATTCTGGCTGGAATCAGCCAGGTTTGAACTTTAGTGGAAGCCTAACGAACAGTTTTCTTTGACCCGTCGAAAAACTTTTTTTTTTTCTCAAATTAGCCGCTGGACATTTTGGTCGACCTGAGCAAAACGCTTTCATACAAAGATAACCTTGTTTAACGGACATTGCGTTTATCTGCGCACTGTATGCATCGATATGCATCTCACGAATGAGAACCAACAGACGACGCGGACTCTTAGAGTCATTTTCAATCCGTCTGGCAGAACTGCAACCTAGAAAACAAAGTAACGGACTATTTCTAAATTCATTACTTTGCCGCGTTTGAAACACTGATCTATCATTAACTCGGCTGGGCTGAAGAATTGACAAGTTTCTCCTGTTTGAGCTCGAGTATTTAAGACTAGGTCTTTGCATCAACAAAACACGTGTCTTTGACCTTGATTCAGAGAGCCCTCTTAATACGGATGCCCGAAGAATATGGTGTCGAAATTAGACGGGGGGTTTGGGGTTAGGTGGGCGGCGTCATCACCAGGTAAGCGCTGCCTCGAATCATGGACTGCTCCGTCAACAGTCGAAATATAAGATCCAAATGTTGATCCCGAGAGAAGGTACACAGAAAGGTAGCATTGTCGTGTGGACCGGTAAAAGTAAACGCGCAAAATAGGTCCTTGTACTCTCAGTTTTCGCTTTGGCTGCCTGTTAGCTTACCGGGTTTTCAGGCGCGAGCATGTGAGCGCGAGGCGAGATACACGCGAGATGAAGTTTTCTCTATTATCTCCGCTCGCGTGTCGCGCGCCTCAAAACCCACTTGAGCGCCTGCAATAACGCCTGTTGTGCATCCGCGAATGGTTTATGCTGCACGGCAGGCGTTTGAAAGGAAAAAAGGTTGTTAATTAGGGGGCGGCTGCACACAGATGACTCAACACACTTTACCTCCAAAAGTCCTTCACGTCCTTAAAATTTAACATCGTAGCAGTCCATTTGTTACATTGCTGGGTTAAAAAATGTTCCGAGGAACAGGAGAAACGCAAAATTATTGTGCCAAACTAACGTGCCACTGTTTTTCCCGTGTCCGCCATGAGCATTTTGAGCGATGAATTTCATTGGACATAAAGAGCCACGTGACAGGTGTCCAACCTTCTCTAATGCTGAGGGGTAGAGGGAGGGGGTTGGGGAACCCGAAAAATTTCGTAAACAAGGCGATTTAATCATCTCAAGCAATACAACAAGATCTTTTGTTGTCACCTTAGTAAAATGGCTGGGTGATATATAAAGCTACTGAATTTTTGATCGTATTTGATGACTATAAGTTAAAGCTTTCTCCAGTTATAATTAAGAAAAGGATCTCTTTTACTTATGATTTTGTGGAATTTTTCCTATTTATCTTCTTAAATGTCAATAAAAACAGCTTTTAGCACTTTTTAAATGAATTTAGTACTTTTTAGAATAGTTTACAGCTCATTATCATTGACTTAAGATGACACCTACGTCTGGAAAAGGTCGGAGTACGCAATTCTTCTCAGTTTCGTCTGGTCTCATAGCAACGAAAGACAGACCAGCGTATGTCTTTCACGTGAAAGTTGTAAAAATCGCACGTGCAACCAGTGTGCAATTTTTATGATTTTCGACGGTGTGAATTCGGGATTGGGGTGGTATATTGCGGTCACTTTTTACCGTCTAAAAAATTTCGCGAAGAATTCTTTCCTCTACTGAAAACAAACTTAAGGCACTTGTTTATGGCGTATTTTCTTGGCAAGAAAACCACGAAATTTTCAAAATGAGAAAGGGAAAGGTACTTTCAGGATGATATAGCTAGTTTTACATTCTTGGTTTGTTTACATTTTTATATATTTAAAAGCACGTTTTGAAAAAAAGGATGGTTATTCAAGTCTTTTTCACTTAGAAAGGATGGTATATGGAGAGAGATTAAATCTCGTTCATTTTCTCAGTGTCTATTATTGTGTATCTTCTAATAACCCAATCGGCTTCTTTCGAAAGCTTTAAAGCTTTGTTTCATGTTTCTTCATGATTCTTAAAGCTCAAGGTTATTTTTGAAGTTTTCTTTTCTTGGATCAAGGGAAGAAAGCAGTCAAAAATTAAAGAAAAATAAAATAAAATGAAACTTACTGCTGAATATTGAAAATTGTCTTCTTAACACGCAGTGCTGGAAAATTTAATGCAGTATCTCACATAGTTTTTTTTTTGCAAAATCATGTTTTGAGAAAATAAAAATAGTCTGTTGTCTTTGACGTTAGTTTCACAATCTTTCTGTCAATTCCCTGGTTATAATAACGATAAATATCGCTATCCTTTAATATTAAGAAACTTCCTCTCTCTCTTCCAAAGGAAATTGTTTTTTCGAGGGCTACATTTGATAAAGAAAATAAGCAGTTATACGAATCAGAGAAAAATACTTTCAAATAAAGTTCAGCAATAAGCCATTTTTAGCCTTATTTTTGCCTAGGGCATGTCTCGATCACGCTTACATGACGGTATTCTCGGCACTTGAAGTCTGAAGAAATTACAGAATTTGTACTAATATCTACTCTTCGATGTTCAGAAACCAATCTAATAGTATCACTGAAATTTTTCAGGGTAAAAGTTGTTTATTTTTAAGTTATTTATTTAGTCCGGGTTAAAAAAGAGTTATAGTCTAGCAATGTTACCTTTTACAAGAACGTTACTGAGTAGTACTTTCCTGTGGTACTGTTTATTATGCTATACAAGGTGCTTCCGGGTCCAGCACTTGAGTCTGTTAATGAAATCCTAAAGTGACTGAAATGTACTTTGCTGTTTTACTTTACCGTTTTTTTGTAGTCTTTTACAAAATTTGGCTTTTTTCTTGAATTTTGTTGTGTCAAAAAGTACCGATCGCATTCTGAAAAATAGTCGCAAAAATATCGTCCCTCGTTCAAATTGATATTTTACTTATTTGTGAATTTCGTGAGCAGTATACGAAAACTGAATAGCGGTGTTTATTTTAGCAATTACATTTTGTGAAACTAATTGAATTCAAAGCAAATCTCGTCCTCCCAATGGCTAAATGACAAAATTCTTCCCGAAAACAATGACAAGGTTTCCATAGTTACTTCGTAGTCTGTGATTTTTTCGATATTTATGGTGTAAAATGTCGGAAGAATTGAGGTCGCCATGGATAGGAAACCCCTTTTAGAACAATTTTCAATCTCGGGTGAATCTCTATTGGTCGACTAGGGACTGAGCTGTTTGTAAGTGGGGTTAAATTTACTTTCCCAAAATCCATCAACATTATTACAGGCTAAGTGTTTGTAGCCCCCAAACGCAGCCTTACAAGTTAACAGAGGCAGAAAAAAGCCTGTAGAAATAATCAAGAAAAAAAAAGAAGCTCTGTACTTTAGGGGGCCGAAGTAAAGAGGAAACACCCAGAAAAACGAAGAGAAAAACAGAAAATATCCGTTTGATTGAGAATGCGATACGAAGGGCAAGCTCGCCCACTAGCGTATGTTACCCTCCTTGTGTTGGTTTTCACGGAAGGGATCGTTAACGCAGCAAGGTAATCACCGAAATATTTTCTAGAAATCGCTTGTGTTACCTCGTAAGTCTTGCATTTACTTTTAGGAATGTCTTTAGCAAATTTGTACTTTCAAATTCTCACTGAATTTGTCCGTTAATGGCATGAAGTTGTGTAACAGAGAGAGATGTAGTACTAAATCAAGAATATTCTCTCTAGGTAAGAAAAGTGAAAAAAAATGGGCCGTGAAAAACAAAAGAAATCACCACTCCTTTTAAAACGAGGAAAAAAGGAAACAAAACGAAAAGAGTTCTCGTTTTGGAACGAGCAAATTACATAAGCGAAAAATTCAAAACTGTATTTTACAAAGTAACATGTTGGAAAGTAATTCCCTTGCTGGGCAATTCTGAAAAATGAATAACTATGTACGTGCCGGCGACTCGAAATTTCATGACCATGAGGCGCAAAATATTTTTTATCAGCGTTCAGTGCTGTCTCTACAATCGTGTACAGCTTTTAAAATTTTCTGAAATACTGGAAAATGTTAATTAAAATAGTCAGCGCTTTACGCCGAAGCTTCCATAATTTAGAATTCATTGTTTGAGAAAGGAAATTTCAAGCTTCTTTGTAAGGAAAAATTTTCCAAAACAAGGAAACTAAAATCAGGCGGCAGCGAAGAGATTATAAGTCTGGACTCGTCTAGTTTCAAATTTGCTAAACAAGGAATTAATGTTTTCCTCACAAAAAAGGGGAGAAAACGATTCTTATTGCAAATGACCGCGGGTTAATCAAGAAGTGCTGGGGGTTGCTCTTTGAATTTTAACCGTTTTTTGGTTGTTCAGTCAATCGGCCAAGTTTTATACATAACGTGCCAACACCCTGAAGTGAACCCAAAACTTTTAACAAAAGTTTACTTTGGAAGGAATAAAAAAGATTACTTGAAAGTTAGTCATAATATTAGGCGAATCTAACGATGTATATGGAATTGGCTTTCAGATATGAATTGCCAGAAACGTTTGAGACTGAAGTAGACGGGCTCGCCGACTTGGAGAGACAGCAAAGATCTTTCCGAACCTGTAAGTAACCGTCAAGCTTTATAAAAGTAAATTTCCATTTTTTAAAGTATTCATGAGAGTAAAAAGACCTATGGAAGGTGGGGTCGAAGTGGTTTTATTTGAATGTTTTTCGCCATCGTTTTCGTCGCACAAAATAGCTTGAGCCAATCTGTACAGCGTTACAAACAACATCACAGGAAAGTATTGATCAGTAGCTTTCATTTGAATGCAGTGTGAAATCCTAAAGTAGGTGTCTGAGTTTTCAATCTTGGTGGAACATGTCGTATTATTTGTCATGGTGTCCTTTCATGACGAGTCGTCGAAAGTAAACTTACCAGTCACTTTAGGATTTCATCCACATACTGAAAAGTTAGAACCACCTTGTACAGCATAATAAACAACACCGCAGGAAAGTGTTGATCAGTAGCTTTCATTTTAATTATCACACTTCGCAATATCACACACTCTAAAGGTAGATCCGCCTCGTCAACGTTAAGACAGAGTACTAGGGGAATGCACTACTCAGCAGATAGATTGAGATGTACTGATAAATCATGCGTTTTGTTTTCTCGCGGCTCATGAAACAGTTTTATCATTCCCCACTAACAAAAGAAGCTTTTTCAGTCTTCATACTCGCGAAGTTACACCTCTTTAACGCTTTTGGTTTTACGCTAACGTACATTACATTTTGTTACCTTTTGTAAAAGATGTGTAAGAACCTACTTCAGGTTTATAAAACGTAAATAGCTTTATGAAAGATTTTCACTGGTTTTAAGTTGCCTCGCCATGTCTTTAACTTATACCTTGTCTTTTAAAAGTATCTTAAATATCACTTGAAAAAATACAGGGTGGTCTAACGGCACCGTTGGTTATGGAAGATCTTTACACAACTTTTGACCCAAATCTATTTCAATAAAGAAATGACGAGAATGAATGGTATAATTTTGACCTCATTGTGTTTTTTACTTAACAACAATTCGTTAAGTTTTGAAAAATGCCCTTTACGAGACTGTAATATTTTGAGACTTATGAGCAAGGTGTGTCTTTTTTCTTTTGTTTTGCTCAACATAAACCGGAAAAAAAATCTTAACAAAATCTCTTGCAACTGTCCAGTTTTCCTTGTTTGAATCCATTACTTTTCTTTCAAAAGATCGGTATATCTTCTGGAAGGCAGAGTTAAAAATGGCAAAATAAATCTTAAAAATGGAAATTAAATTCTTTCTTTTGTGGAAACGCTAACTTAGCAACCGCCGTTGCTATTTAATAGTTGACGTAAAGATCTTCTATCATGTGACAATAAATGTTCCCCGCACGAGAATTCTGGGAACGAGGGATTTGGTTCCGTTTCTTGAAAACACCGAAACCATCTCCGCTTCCCAAAGATATTTTGCGTAGACAAAGTTTACCTTTTAGAATGAAGAGTTGTTTCATTAATAGACCATGTTGCAATTAATAGGCTTCATCGCAAAAGTTTTAGTTTTAAAATCGTATTGTTTAGCCCGCGAGAAAGCTCTCCCGGGGGTGCGGGGGTGGGGAAGGGAAAAGGGAAAGAGCCCTTTTCCCTCTCTTTCCCTACCCCCCCCCCCCCACCCCCCCACCCCGCGCATAGTAAAAATAATCGTTAAAATGATTGTAAAGCGATGTTCAATTCAATTCAATTTTGAGTGTAATCATTAGAGAGCAAATATAAGCAGCCACGAAGACGACAACAACGATGACGTCAAAAAGCAGTTGGTTTTAACAACAGCTCTGCATGTGCATCACGCTTTTTATTACATTTCTTTGTCGTTCACTGCACTACTACGACGTGCAACCTACTAATGCGACGTTTTATGGAGGACGTGAACATACGACGACGAATTTCTGAACTTTCTTGAACCTGGATAAAGTCCTTACGAATTCAACTTCAGGACAAATCGCCTACATTTGAAAAATTGAGCGAGCGAAATGGATGCGATAATGTTTGAGAGGACGTAGTTTCATTTTTTAGTGATGTTTTCACTGCCCTCCTGGCTAAACACAAGATCGGATAATCTGCGTTTAAGAGAAGTTCATTCCCTTTTCAGGTTCTCCCACACCTATTTATTTCTCTTCTAGTTATTCTTCATATATTTTTGTTGTGAAATCATTAAAGCAAAGTAAAGCAAGAAGGAAAGCAATGGCTATACTTGTCAATTACACCGGATCATTTTACGTTTCTGTGAAACTGCCCACCTACCCCTCCCCTAAACCAACATTAACACTTAGTTCTTACTTAGGGAAAAATGTTGGCTTAGGGGAGGGGTAGGTCGGCAGTTTCCCAGAAACGTAAAATGATCCATTACACCTTTAAGAGTTTTATGAAATTGGCCTTAAGATTCACTGTTCCGCTCGCCCTCGATTCCTTACTCCATTCTTGATTGTCGTCTCTTTCACAGCTGATTACGGACCTTTGAGAAGAACAAGCAGTGCACGCACTATCCACTTGCCTGTTAAAAGTGATGGCAATGCGTGTGGAGTCACGTGCGCTAACGGTGGTACATGCGTAAACAATTCTTGTGTCTGTACCTCAGGCTGGACTGGAGTTGACTGCACACAGAGTAAGTTTCGTGCACTCTCAGTAATTAAGTCATGCTAGTGGACCCCACTTGAGTCTGTCAAGCTGAGTTACGATGTTTTAGGTCTTTTCGTACGCCTGCAAGGTCACTGTTTCATGGGATATGTCACGTAACGTAACGTAACAAATACAAAGCATTCTTTCTTAAGAAAACCTGCGAACATGAATCTGAAATTAAGGAAAAGAAGTTAAGAACTTCCTCCGCTGCATCCAGTTGTAAGCACAACCAACAACAAAAAAGCGGTTGTCTTACCCTTCAATACACTTCATAGGAAGAATTCTTTTCAGTACGAGAGAGTCCCTCCACCCCTCTCCCCCTTTTTAACGTTGTCACTGCCAGTGTTGAATACGATCTTTGAATCCTTGTAATATTTTGACAACCAGCGGGGGAGGGAGCAGAAGTCGGGCGAAGTCTGATAAACACCATTTGAGGATCAAAACGTTACGGTGTCTCCAGCCTTTTTGCAACTGTTTGTTGGTTGCCTTAAATGGGCCATTTACACGATTTAGTCTTTTTACTACTGAGACCAGAATTCATTTCGTTTTTCCTTTCATATTTAAATTTGGTAGTCCCAGTGAGGTTTAAATAACAGATGCCTCAATTTGCACAAGAAAGCAATACCCTGAAGGATTCTGGTCATAGTAGTAAAATGACGCCATCGTGCAAATGGCCTATTCTGCTAAGTGATCTATTCTTTGTCCTTTCCCCCTTACTATTTTTATCTATGAGCTGAACAATATCCCTTGACAAATGGACGGCTTAATTAAGACCAAAAAGTGAGCTGCCAAGTTGATTTTTTTTACGTTCAATTTCCTCTTTCTGCGCCTTGAAATTAGTTCAGAAATTGTTTAGAAACGAAGCCTCGCTTGATCTAATAATCAGTTCCCGTAATTTCCCTTTCACATCACATTTTTTTCATCCGCCGATTTTCATTGGTTATTGTTTGTGTTCGTTCAACAGAGACCTGCTCTCCCCGATGTCGAAACGGAGGAGTTTGTCAGAATGGAGCCTGTAAATGTGTAGGGGACTGGGAAGGAGATCATTGTCAGACACGTGAGTTAACCTTTCTTTGAGCCATAATTTCACAATAAGAGCTGCTGAACCACTTAGAAGAAGAGGCTCGAAGAAGAAGAAGCTTTATTTGTTTACATTCACAATAACTAAATTACAAATACAGACTACCTAACAAAACAAACAAACCTTTTTACCAGGTTAAAACGAATCCTCTTTTTCAAAGTAACGCAGACACTTAAATTATCTTGCCCCTCGTAGTTGCAGGTCTTTAAAATAATGCCCTTTTGGTTTTCGTCAATATTCTGTGGGCTAACTACTGATTGTTCGATTTAAACAATGGGTAAGCTCTTACACCAAGCTGTGATGTTGAGATGATTGGGCGCATACACGCACAGACGCGCGACACCTGCTTGGATCCGAGCTTACAGTAGATGACATTCTACTGTGCATATTTTTTATTGGATAGTTAATGTTACATGGTAGGACTTATCATATAAAAACGTTCCTTTTTTGTGTTATCGAAGGGTTAGAGCTACTGTACACCCATTCTTCCATAAATTTCGTTATTTATTCGTTTATTTATTTTGCAGTGTTACGACTACTATAACGAGCAACTAACTGTTTAAAACTTTCTCATACAGGAAAGTGCACAAAAAATTGCCAGAATGGAGCAGCCTGTGTGAATAATGAGTGTGTTTGTACAGGCGGTTGGGCAGGACAACTTTGTGACAGAGGTGTGTTAATGATATATACTTTTTTCACTAACATTGCAAACTGGTAAACATTAAAAAGCAGAGTCCTGCTAACATTAAAAAGCAATCCTGAGTTCCCAGATTCAAGTCCTGTCCACTAGTCTATTTTTCCTCAATAGTCCTGAGTGCAATTCCTTAGCCACGATTACGGTAGATTTTATCCGCTTGTTCGATTCCCACTGAGGTTCAAAAGCGTGGCTCTATAATTCTGTATACTGTGGCTTACGTTCAGCCGGAAATTCAAAAATGATCTTTATCTCTTAAAATTACTACTTGGAGTAGTTCTCTTTTCCACCATTTGCCTTGTCAGTACCACGCGGCGCAACGTTTGAATGCTTGTAAATTGATATGCATCTGGTAAGTTGCGATGTTTTGAACCCCGATGTTTAAAGGGTCTATGTCATGGCAAGTTCCTTATTTTTAAGGTTAGACTCTGACTCGCTCTAACTCAGAATTAAAAATTCTAACTTACTCAACAGAATAATTTTTATAGTCACCTTTTAGCATTTCATACGCGTTCACAAAAACAGAGATTTTCTGGACGTCCAAAGACGAAAGTAAGTCGCCTGGGGTCACCGAGCTCGGCTAGATCGGGCGGCCCTGCCGGTGGAATTACCAGCCGTTGTGGTCACTGTGGCTGATTGTTACTCAACCTAACTATAATTCTTTCTTCACAGCTACTTGTGTTCCATATTGTCAGAACGGCGGAACATGCGAGAAGCCTAATCACTGTAAATGCACGCCGTGGTACACAGGCGCTATGTGCGAAAGATGTAAGTTGTCCATATTGATAGAACTCTTAAACACTCATCTTCGATGGTTTATGTTAACCCTTTCACTGCCAGAGTGCTTGATGGAGTTTTGAAAGGTGACTGTAACTTTTGCGTTTGTGGACGAAATCCTATGATGTGACCATTCAACTGAAAGCTCCCTGCCTGTACTCACACATGGTACTTTTTGTTTTTCAAAATGTTAGAAAATGAAATTTCGAAATCTGGTCGAAATTTGCCTTTAACTACGTGTGGCAGTGAAAGGGTTAAAAAAAAGAAGAGCAAAATATTTTCGGAAAAGGGAAAAGAATTTTCTTGATCAACAATTTCATTGACGCCTGTTTTCTCAAGCTCTCTGATGAGAGTGTTATTATAAAAAATCTGTTTTATCTTTTGTTTGTAATTTTCAGCACTCTGCAATCCGGACTGTGGAGTGGGTGGAGTGTGCGGCTACAATAATACGTTAAGTAAGATGATGTGTACCTGTCTTCCTGGATATCATGGTGAAGCATGTGACCTAGGTATGAACTTCTCTTTACAACCTTATTGAGGATTTCTGGAGATTTTGGAGTCTTTGGTTTACTGACTTTATGCCCACCTGCCATCTCTCTCCTCTCCCTCCTTCCCTCTCTTCCTTTCTTGCTTCCCACGACTTCAATTTATTCTGCCTCCTTCCTTGCTTCCTTCCTCCCCCTCCCTCCCTCTCTTCCTTCCTTTCTTTCTACCTTCTTTTCTCTCTTTCTTTCCTTCCTCCCTTCCTCCCTCCCTCCCCCTCTTCCTTTCTTCTTTTCTTACTGGCCCTTCCTCTCTTCCTCCCTCTCTTCCTTCCTTCCTTCCTTCCTTTCTCCCTCCCTTCCTCCCTTCCTTCCTTTCTTCCTGCCCCTCCCTCCTTCTCTTCCCTCCTCTCTTCCTTCGCTCCTCCCTTCCTCCCTCCCTCCCTCCCTCCCTCCCTCCCTTCCTTCCTTTCTCCCTCCCTCCCTTCATTCCTTCCTTGCTTCCTTCCGTCCTTCCTCCCTCCCCTCCACCCTCTCTTCCTTGCTTCCTCCCTCTCTTCTTCTTCCTCTTCCTTCCTTCCTTCCTTCCTTCCTTCGTTTCTTCCTTCCTCCTCCTTCCTTTTTTTTCTGCCTTTCGTTTTTCCTGCCTCTTTCCTTTTCTTCTCTTCTCTTTTTCTTATTCTTTTCTTTTCCTTCACTTTTCTTCCTTACTCTCCTAATCCCTTTCTCCTTTCATTGGTCTGCTTTCTCTCGGCGGACTTAATTGCATTAATGCTGTGATCTAATGTTTCTCATTTTTGTTCTTGGTTTGTTTTAACAGTACGTCCATGTGAAATGCCTCTCAGTCAAGGTGTTAGTGCCCAGTTTCTCGACGAAACCTTTTATTCAAACGCTCAGAATAGGCTCCCCTTCACTGGCAACGCTGCCTCCACAATTGCCTGTCTCAAGTATCTTGCAGAAGTGGACAAAAAGTGCTACTCAAAAAACACAACGTTCACGCAGACAGAGTGTGAGAAGTATTGCGGTAAGCAGTGATTTTGTTAGAAATGGTTATGGTGAGTCCTTGGACTCATCTTGTGAAAAATCATAAGTCATAAGCCCCATTGAGTCCCAGTTCAAAAACCAACGAGTTCTAAATTGAAAAAGCTTGGGTCTTTATGTAATCAGGCAGTTACTAAATCTGAAGACAGACTCCAAAACTCACAGTTTACTGAAATTAAAATATAATCCTCCTGTTTAAACAACAAAATTGAGGGGACTGAAAATAAACATGTATCGTTAAACAACAACCACATTAACAGCCATAAAAATCACACAAACAGGATTTTCTACAAAAACATCCTCAGATCGATCGATCTTTGCGTCCTACGGGACGCACCCACACAGTAATTTTCAAGGAGTTATAATAACTCCTCTAGTGGGTTAATTTAACTCCTTGCAGTGCAGTTATTTTTTGGGGAGTTATTTTAACTCCAAAAAGGAGTTTAACGAACTCTTTTTCAGGGGTAGAAATGACTCCAGATATTGAGGAGTTAAAATAACCCGAAAAAAAGGAGTTATCCTGTACGTAAAATTTTTACTCCACTTTCAGAGTTCAATTAACTCCAAAAAGAGTAAAAACAACCCATGTAAGGAGTAAAAATAACCCCATTTTCGGAGTTTTTTTTAACTCCAGACTGGGAATAAAAAGAACTCTTTTTCAGAAGTAAAAATGACCCCAAATTTGAAGTTAAATTAGGAGCTAAAGTAACCCCAAAAAAGGGGTTTCCTGTACCTAAAATTTTTCCTCCATTTTTGGAGTTATAATAACTCCCTAAAAATTACGGTGCATTTGATTATTTTGCGTCTTTGGGGATTTTTATGCGTCTTGGACGCAGGGCGCAGAGGTAACAAAATCAGTGGGCAAGTCATTTATTTAGCATAGGTGATCGACTTCAAGTATTTCCCTTGTTTTTGTTTTTTCAAAGAGAAATAGTAAAGGCAAAACATAAATAAGAGCGCCGAAAATATCACCCTTACTGCTCTTCCTTTGGAATTGCACTAGACTTTCAATCCAGAGGCCCCGAGTTTAACTCCCGCCCTCCCGCTACCTGGATTTGTTCTCGGCAGTTCCGATTTTACAGCGTCGGCCATGTTTGCCTCTATCCAGTTGGGATTTTTTGACCCTGTTATGTTTAATTCGAATTGTTTGTTTCATTATGCCTGAAAAGCCCTTAAGGGAAGGGAATAATTCAATATCTATATTTGTTTACTCCTTGATGAATGTCACCATACATTTGGGGTTTTTTTTTCAGACGCTCTGGAGACGAATGATATCTGTAAGAAGATCTGGAATCCAATTGGCTATGGATATTCTGAAAATGATCTCAAGCGAGACAACATCACGTGGTACTACAATACGGCCACACAGTCCTGCAAACAATTCCAATCCCTTGGCTGCCTCGGAAATGAAAACAACTTCAAAACTGAGTCGATCTGCCGAACAAAATGCTCTAGTAAGCACATAATGATAGTTGAGCCTTTCAAAATTCATAAAAGGACAAATTTTCTTTCTAGTTTTTTTGAAAACGAATCTACATTTTGAACGTTCTGCTGAAGTCAAAAGTGCGAACCACCTCGTATGGCATAATAGACATTACCACAGGAGAGTACTGTTTAGTAGGTTCATTTGAATGGTTACACTTTAAGATGTCGTCCACAAACTCAATAGTAAGGACCACCTTGTGCAGCGTAATAAACAGCACCACAGGAAAGTTCTGCTCAGTAGCTTTGGCATTTGAATGGTCGCACTTTAGGTTTTCATCCACAGATTCAAAAGTTAGAACCACTTGTACAGCATAATAAACAGTACCACAGGAAAGTACTGCTCAGTAGCTTTCATTTGAATGGTCACAATCTGGAATTTCGTCCACAGACTGTAACATCAGAACTACAATGCCTGTCTACGTGAGTGACTGCGGTTAAGATCCGTGGTTGCAAATGGATTTAAGTTTATATTCTCCTGAACTGAATTACCAGCAATCAGCTATTCCTTCCTTGGCTTAACTTATTCTAACTTTTACATGACAAGACATGCGATCACTTAGTCCAAAAATAAATTAAACCGTCCGAATTCATACTTTATAAGCGAGCACAATTCGTATCCAGTATGTCTCACTCGAAAACGCTTACGTTTCAAATTTTTTTCCCTTTATTGCAGAGGTTGTTCCGACTCTTCCAGCAACATTACCTGTCATAAACGGTAGGTTAATAACGTGGATATAATAAGGAAATAATGGATAAGGTTGAGCGGTATAGTGAGAATTATTAAACCTGAGGCTGTATTATTTGGCGATGCCTAAGGCTAGGGCGGATAACACAAACTATTAGAAAAGTTTTTAAAACGGAAAAAATTGTCGTGCGCCTTAATGTTTTCGTGGAAAAATGAAAAAAATTATAAATGATATAATAAAGGATGAATTAGCTACGGAGTGACTAATCTGTAAATTTCCATCCTTATAGCACCTGGAAGTTGTTTTGTGACTGGTAAAGACCACTTTAGCACCTTTGATAACACTGGTTACCGCTTTACTGGAGCTTGTTCATCTATGTTGGTGATAGACAATGAGAATCCTAACCAGTTCAAAGTTGTCCTGAACGGTGATCCAAACTGTAATGTTAGCGTACCGTGCCAGAAGTCATTAGACATGATCGTAGATGGTGTCAGCGTGCATCTGGGAGCAATGACAAACACGTCTTTTGTTGTGAAAGTGGACGGCAATCCGATAAGTCTGCCTTATACGGCGTCAAGTCCATTAATTAAACGGGTCAGTGATAGTTATATTTCGTTTGTGGAAACCGGAATATCAATTAGTCAGTCAGTCAGTCAGTCAGCCAGTCAGTCAACCAATCACTAGGCCAACCCGTAAGTCGGTCGGTCAGTCAGTCAGTCCCATAGCGGTAGCCTGCAAGTTTTTCATGTTACGAGGCTAGTAAAGTACAAGTAATTTTTCATGTGTTTAGTAGCTTGAAATTCAAAACATTCGTCAGACGCTTATCATTCAACCTATTTACTGTTTCTCATTCAACAGAGTGGCCGCTATGTGCTAGTGAAGTCTAATGACCGTATCAACATTCTTTGGGACGGTGTAAAAGATGTTATCATCAAAGTCCCTGATACCTACTTGTATTCCAAAGATCACAAACTGATTGGTCTTTGCGGTCTTTATGACGGCAACAGTACCAATGACTTCACCGATATCCAGGGAAATGAGATTCAGAACCCAACACAGGACCAGATCAACTCTTTCGCGGACAGTTTCAAGCAGGATCCGAACTGTCAAAACCAGCTCTCTACCAAATTGAAATGTTACAGTCCAGACGGAAACGACGCCAACGGTAGAATCCACGCCGAGCGCGTGTGCAGTGTTCTTGAGGAGCCCGCTTTCCAGCCATGTCACCGGTTCGTTGACCCTAAGCCTTTCGTGGAAATGTGCATGTATGAAGTGTGCAGTACGAACTACACTAATAACCCTCGGAGCATGTGTGACGCCCTCGCTCTTTACGCGCGGGTCTGCGCGTGGTATCACAACACGACCCTTACGTGGAGGCAGCAGTTCTGTCGTAAGTAGAGAATTAAATCAACTTTTGACACCAGCTAGTCAGTCAGCCAGTCGGTCAATCAGTCAGTCGATATGTCAGTCAGCCAGTTAGTCGGTGACCTACTCATCAGCCAGTCAGCCAGCCAGTCAGACAATCAGTCAATCAGTTGGTCATTTTTAGTCATTTAGTTGGTCAGTCTGTTGGTCAGTTAGTTGGTCAGTCAGTTGGTCAGTCAGTTAGTCAGTCAGACGGCCAGTCATTCAGACAATCAGTCAGTCAGTCAGTCAGTCAGTCAACCAGTTCTTCATTAAACTTTTGCCGCTCCTTTTCCAATGAAATGAACAAATGAGGCCATAACTGCCTATCGTTTTCAATTGTTTCCAGCTTGAGCTAGTTGAAAACGTTGATAAACCAAAAAAGATTTTCTGACCAACTAACCGAGAACAGTTGATCCTAGTAGAATACGAACTAAATTATTATGTTTTTGTTAGCCATGGACTGTCCCAACGAAAAGGAATACAATGAATGTGGTTCCTCCTGTCCCCTGACCTGCCGAAATGTTATCAGCGACCAGACGAAGTGCGGATCGCCTTGCACAGATGGTTGTCATTGTCCTCCAGGCAAGTGGCTGGATGGGAATAAGTGTGTTGATAAGAGCGACTGTTCTTGTTTGTATCGCGATATCACTTATCCCAACGGAGCAAGGAGGGCGGAGCCCTGCCAGACTTGGTGAGAATTTTAGTTCCCCACTCCAGAACCTATAAGGGAAATAGGTACAAGCTTTCGGTGCAACAATTTCTGGGGTCGTTTGGGTGGATAAGCATTGGTTATGATTAGCCTATGGTATTCAAGTCAAACATTAACAAATCATAACGCCTGTCCGCCCAAAATATCCCAAGAATCGCTACGCCGTAGATCTTAATCCATTCCCCTTATAGTTTCTTGAGCGGTGAATTTCTTTTTAAAATGTAAGTTGTATTTTATTTGTGAATGCTGAGAAGTGAGAAACTCTACAAATCCTTCTACAAGTTCAGGAAAGAAAGTGAGATAAACTAGGGATCAAGAAATTTTTATGGACCCAGCTTTCTCTACCGGCAAATTTTTCAAAAAGAATGAACTTCGCCATGTTGTTCTGTCTTTTGCTTCATGAGTTTCGCTTGTCAGAGGTCACGTGTTAAATATTCAGTTAGTGTAGAACTGCCTTCTAACGTTTTGTACGAGGTTAGCTATGTAAGTACATCCATGTGCAAATTTCAACGGTAAAGTTTACTCAGTCTGGATCATATTTTTTACCAACAAAATTCTCCGTGGTATGAAGACTTTTTATTACAAAATGCCAGTTATCAATAATACTTTGTTTTTGTTTATAGCACTTGTAACGGAGGGCTGTGGAATTGTGTTAAGAAACCCTGCCCAGGTAAGCTGTCAGATAGAGTGTCATCAGTTTTTACGTAACAGAGTAAATGGTTTGAACTGGGGAATTATGTCATAGGTAGGCGGAATATGATCGTTCACATCAGTGTGTAGTCCTGAATAAGACTGATGTTGACAGTGACTGACGTTTCGACAACCTGTTCGGTAGTCCTTTTCAGATTCAGTATTATCTTATCAGTTGATGGTATTCAACTCTGGTTGTTGACCACAAAATAACCAGATAATAACCAGCAACTAGTCACTATCATCAACATTCCTATTGTCCTCAATAAGTACCAGCGTGCTAAATACATTGACACTTACATTAAGTGCGTTTTTTTTTCTCAGGGACCTGTTCTGTCCTTGGTGATCCTCACATCACGACATTTGACCGCGACAAGGGTTACACAATGAATCTGAAGCAGTGTGCCTATATTCTGTCCGAACACTGTCACATGCCAAATGGAACAGACAGAGGTTTCTCTATCACCATTAGAAACAGGTGAGATAAGGTTCTAAAGACAGGGCCATCTCACGGAACTCTCATCTTATGGAAATCTTTCTGATCAGGTCCCGGTTGTTCAAACGTTGGATAGCGCTATCCACCGGATAAATCGCTATCCAGAGGATAAGTATTACGAAAACCAGTTGCGCCATCCTTTGCAGCGGCGGATCTAGGGGGAGGGTGCAGGGGGTGCGCCCCCTCCCCCCCCCCGAGATGACCTGCGGTTTTCTAATACAACTGGTATTCTGCAAAAAGAAAAAACTATGTGGTTTATTGGTGTTGAACTAGAGCAAGAGACGAGTGCACCCCCTCCTAAAAAAAAAAACCTGGATCCGCCCCTGCTTTGGATAGTAATTTATCTAGTGGATAGCGCTATCCACCTTTCGAACAACTGGGGCCAGATGGCTAATCATTTTTACATGAACTCAGATGACGCTGCTAAATTGTTTTGCTCTACAGAAAGAGGTGTAAAAGGTGACCGCTGTGCTTTCAAGTTTGCATTAATGCAATCCTTTTTAATCTTCTTCAACTTTGCCTATCCGTACTCCTTTCTGGTGTTTTCCTACTTATCTTGTGTTTTTCTACAGCTTGAAACAGTTATTTTGATATTTCAGTGTTTCCTGTGAAATTTTCGTTGAGTGATGAAGTTTTGAATCTACTCTTCCACGCAGTCTGCTACACAGCCGTTTTTAGTGTCGTCACACAACGGAACGCAACGTAACGACACTAAAAACGGCTGTGTAGCAGACTACTCTCCCACGCAGATGTTGTCAGGGCTTTATCACGTGTTCGTGGGTGAGGAACACGTGACGAAACCCTAATAAAGTCTGCGTTAGAGGCCAACTAAAATGGCTTGACCTTGCCCCTTAACCTTACCATTTTTTTTTTCATATTAGGTACTGCTCTTCCTTGTACTCGCACTGCAGACGAGAACTGCTGGTAAATGTCACAGGGCAGCCCTACTTGATTCTGGACATAGACGACTGGACGAAGAAGCCAACTGCTTCCATTCAAACACAACATGGTAGCGTGACCACCATCACCAAGAGCTACTCGACGCAGAAGATGGACGTGGAATTTTTGGGCGACCAGAACATATTTATCCACGTTGACCTGCAGGTGAGATTTAGGTTATTTTTACTTTTAGCCTTGTTCGTCGTCTGCTTGTGGCAAACATACGAGTTACGACTGCACCAAAAACTGAAGATTTTTGGTCTTTTCTTAAACCTTGCTTTCCCAGAGTGAATGATGGAGTCTTGCAAGGTGGCTCTAACTTTTGAGTCTGTGGATGAAATCCAAAAGTGTGACTATTCAAATGAAAGCTACTGAGCAGTACTTTCCTGTGGTACTGTTTATTATGCTGTATCAGGTGGTTCTCACTTTTGAGTCTGTGAATGAAATCCTATAGTGTGACCATTCAAATGAAAGCTTCTGAACAGTACTTTCCTGTGGTACTGTTTATTATGCTGCACAACGTGGTTCTAACTTGTGAGTCTGTGGATGAAATCCTAAAGTGTGACCATTCAAGTGAAAGCTACTGAGCAGTACTTTCCAGTGGTACTGTTTATTATGCTGTACAAGGTGTTTCTAAGTTTTGAGTCTGAGAATAAAATCCAGTGGTGTGACCAATCAAAAGAAAGCTACTGAGCTGTACTTTCCTGTGGTACTGTTTATTATGCTGTACAAGGTGATTCTAACTTTTGAGTCTGAGAATCAAATCCAATGGTGTGACCATGCAAATGAAAGTTACTGAACAGTACTTTCACAAAGTTCTATTAAATTTGATGCTTTTTTTTTTACATTTGCTGGGTTATTTAAACCTTACGCCTTTTTTAAAAAATGGTTATTCGTGTGCTTTGCTCAATAGGCCATTTCAGAGTTGCCCCATGCCTCTGTTTCCAAGCGAAGCTAAGTGTGAAGCGATTCACATTTATTCTCCTGCAAAAAGAGACTCATTTTCACAAGAAAGGTTTTTCGCTTTGCCTCGCTTTGAAAGTGAGAGTTTTTGAAACTCAGAAATGACCTATTTTAAGGCCAGCGCCTAGTGGCTCAATTTGGCTCAATTACGTGACTCAATTCCTTCAAGACTTGACCACAAAAATGAACGGAAGTTTAGGCGAAACGGGCGCAAGAGTCGTTACTTTTAGTACGCCTGAGTGATAATGACTGATTGAGTTTGCATGTCACCCAACAGAACGGCGTGGCGTTTTCCCTTCACTGGACAGGGTACAACACTTTCTTGACGGTGAATGCTTCATTGCAAGATCAAACGTGCGGTCTCTGCGGTACGTTCAATGGCATAAAGGAAGATGATTTTCACCTGCGAAGTGGAGACGATAAAGTAAGCTTGGATGAGTTTGCTAGAGAGTGGTTGGTCCCTGATCTGTCGGAGGATAAATGCTCGAAGGAGTCCGTGGAAAGTTCCATTAACTACTGCGACATATACTTGCAAAATAAAAACTGGACTCATCAGCAATGCAACGTGATCAAAGGTACGATATGAGGGTTTGTTTTCGAATTGCATAGTCTTCTAGTTGTCGAAATGATGCTTTTCATTTTTGGGTGAAAATGTTAAATGGCCCTGTCATTGTTGTACAAAAACTATATTGCTCAAAGTGAAATTAATCTTTGGGTTATATTTAGTTTGTTTAAACAAACTGTTGCTGCGTTAACAATTGCCGCATTTTGTCAGGCAGTTTCGCGTAACTTGAAAACGTTTGAAGTGAAGTTGTGTCGACGTTCATGCTGAAGTTACATTACAGATTTTATTGGTGGTCTTGTATCTCGGAGACGGTCGAACGACTATCCAGCAATAAGTGTCATTCATTTTCGACCGGACGTGTTTGTTATTTACTTGTAGATCCTGTCGGGCCTTTCGCCGATTGCCACAAGGAAATTTCATACGCTGAATTCTACAAGAAGTGTATCCAAGATGGATGTCGCTGCGAGGGGTGCCTGTGCAATGTGATCGCTGGATATGCAAAGGCATGCGCGGCGAAGGACATCGATGTGAACGGATGGCGTAACTCTGTGAAACCATGTTCTCAGGGTGAGCTAAATAATTTTATGATTTTGTAATTATTTCAAGGTATCTTCCTTTTTTTGATTTCTATTTTATTGCCAGCTTTCGCTTGCTTTCATTTTGTCACAAGTCTCACAATGCAAACGGCATTCGCGGTGCCGTGATTTAATAGGCTGATTTAGCTACAGAAGGAGAACGTCATTTAACGACGGCGCACGCAAATCAAACTACTGGCTTGACCAATGGCAGAGCGAGAAATTGGGAACCGGAAGTCGAGTTTAGTCCTTTTCGCGCGCTTTCCCACCGTCAAATGAGTTCCTGTTCTGTTTCTAAATCAGCCTATATATCAAACACAAGAAAGAGTGTTCTACCTGATAGAGCGATTTTCGTATGACCTTGAAATAAAAACGCGTAAACAATACAGACACAACAAACGAACAGAAATGGAGCAATTTGATAGGTTTATCGAACACATACAAACGCGGGTGGCTTTTGGTTGGTTAAGCGAACACTCGGGTGAAAAAACTTCATGCCCGAGAACTTTCTAGAAACCAACCCATACTTCGCTTTGAGGTCATACTGCAACACGATTGGCCAATCGAGCAATGCCTACTCCATATTAGGGTTTTCTTTGGCGGGAAAACTAAGAGGCCATGTTTTGATCTTTTCATCCATTGGCTGATAAAACAAATAATGAACACTTACCGAAACCATTTTTCAAGGTCATGCGAAAATCGCTCTATCAAAATATGAAGATATCTAATAAAGAAGAGAAACACTGATTCATTTTATGTCCAAAAACCAACAAGCTATATACCAAACACGAGAATGAGTTTTGTATCTGACATAAAATACCAGGATATCTTATTAACATGAAGAGAAGTGTTTTATTTGATGTCCAAACACCAGGAAGTAATGCATCAAACACTAGGAGGAGTGTTTCATCTGATATCAAAACACCGGAAGTAACATATCAAACACGATAAAGAGTGTTTAATCTGATATTCAAACATCAAAAAGTAATACATCAAACACGAGGAAGAGTACTTCATTCGACATAAAATGACCAAACACGAGACAGTGTTTCATTTGATATCCAGACACTAAGAAGTAATACATCAAACACGAGGAAGAGTACTTCATTCGACACCGACTGACCAAACACGAGATAGAGTGTTTAATTTGATATCTAAACACTAAGAAGTAATACATCAAACACGAGAAGGAGTGTTTCATCTGATATCAAAACACCAGAGGTAACACTGTAAACACGAGAAGTGATGTTTCATCCTACACCCAGACGATGAGAAATGGGTAAAGAAAATAACGAAGCGTAGCTGACGGAGGTTTTTTTTAACCTAATTCGTGTAATTTTTTTATCAGATGAAACACACCTTTAAGTGTCTTTAGTGTTTTTTAATGCTCTCATTTAAAAGATATTGAAGGCAAACAATCTCAGAATTATATGCAGGTTATTAGGATGCGACTGATTGATCACATAAAAAAATAATAAATCTCTCTTTAGCTTTTTCGTGTGGAGCCGACATGGTGCTGGAACAATGCCACAGGTTAAACAACGGCTCGTGGAGTTGCCCTCAAACCTGCGAAGATCTGGACCCAATCGAAGGAGACTGCGAGAGGTGTGTATATCATCCTGTTCACAGTTTCATAGAAAAAAAACTGACTGTAGGGGTAACACAATTACTTTTCATTATGGGCCGCTCGGTTAAGGATCCAAACTGGCCGGAAACAAACCAGTTGGCTATTTACAATGTTGACTGAGGAGTTATGGGCTGAAACAGAAACTGTAGTAAAGTGCTTTTAGGAATTTCAATGAACCAATCAGAATTGAAAGCGAATACATGTATAGGGCCAAGCGCGGGAAACGTTTGGTAGCAAAGCAGGATCGGTTCTTTTAGTACTCCCGATGGGTTGAAAAAATGGCGCAAATTTTTCCGACCTACCGCAAAGCGTGGAAAAAAACGAGATAAACTGCTTTGTCAATCATAACAAGCACAGACATTCCGTTGTCGATTAGTTTTTCTTTCTCGCTGATTTAAGAAATGGCGCGCTCTTCTTTATCCTGCTATCAAAGGTTTCTTTCCGAAATGAATTTTAGCTTTACAAAGTCGTTAGGGTCGCTACCTGAATGACATTGATGCGAACGACTCCGCACATGCTGAATGCCATTCAAAGCAAAAGGGAGATTCTTTGCCAATTTCCAGCAAAACAAGATTCATGTCCCTTACATGTAAAGACAAGATTCACGCTTCCATTTAAATGGAAGCGTCTATGCTGCGTTGTCCCGTATTTCGTCTTCTAGCAAGTATTTTAAGGCCTAAGAAATTTTTTTAAAATTTTGTTTACTTTTCTCCCCCTTTCCTAGGCGCGGCTGCGTGGAAGCATGCTACTGCAAAGATCCTAACTATGTGCTGAGAGGTGACAAGTGTGTGCCGAAGTCGAAGTGCCCTTGTTACTTTGAGGGAAAAGAATATGAACCTGGATCAACAAGAATTGAAAAATGCAACACATGGTAAGTGTTGAATAATTCGTCAATTTCTAAGAGGACCAAAATAAAGGGGAAAGAACAAACTTCATTCTGTAAAATAGTACAGAACAAATCTTACTGCACTAAAGTGCTCCTGGTGATGTTTAATGTAAATGATTACACCTTATGATTTCATCCACGGAGTCAATATTTTGATCTTGCTTGTACGGCATCATACACAAAAGCACACGAAAGTACTGCAAAGTATGTTTTTCGAATGAATGATTACACCTCCACAGTCGCAAAACTGAAACTACATTGTGCAGCCTAATGAACAGTACCACAGGAAAGTACTGCTCAGTAGCGTTTATTTAAATGGTGACACTTCAGGGTTTCATCCACAGACTCAAAAGTTAGAATCACCTTGTACAGCATAATAAACAGTACCACAGGAAATTGCCGCTCAGTAGCTTTCATATGAATGGTGACGCTTCAGGATTTTATCCACCGAATTTGCATTCAGAAGTACGTTAAACAGGATAATAGACATTACCACAGGAAAGTACTTCTCAGTCGCTCTCTTTTGAATGGTGACTCTAGGATTTTTGACAAGCAAGGGCAAAAGTAACAGTATATCAACAAGGACAAATTGTTCGAGCGTCAGTGGCAACAGCTACAATACAAAATATAGAAAAACTAAAAATAAATTCACTCAAAACTCAAATAGTGATCCTCGTTCCCAGGTTCCTCTCCTCGTCCACGGGACCGAGAACAGGAACCTGGAAACGAGGTTGAAACAGTGATAATATCGAAAGCATTCAGAAAAGTATGAATAGATAAGATAATTTTCACCTCATGTGTGAAAACCTGTAGATGCTCTGTAAGCTATTATTATTTCTTACCTATTGTTTTTCGTCTTCAGCGAATGTAAAGGAGGTGGGCAATGGCAATGTACTGCAATGGATTGTGATGGTTTGTATTAAACGTGTTATTGTCTTGAATTTATGCTTATCATATTGACGCGAAGAAATGCTTTTGTTATACAACGCAAAATCGTATTTAAAGAGCCGCCAGTTGATAAGGGGCTACGGCACTGAAGAAAAATGTGTTGTATGTACCGTGGGATGTTATTAAGCGTGGAACAGAGAACGGGGAAGGGGGAACAGCGAACAGGGAACAGGGAACAGGGAATAGGGATCACGTGACGGGGAAATGGAGAACCGGAAGTGGGGAACGGGGAAAAGGGAATGGGGAACGAGCACAGGGAAAGGAAACATGAAAAATGGGGACCAAACAGAGAATAAGAAAGGAAGTTGCTGAAAGGGCTAGGGTTCAAGTTAGGTTTTGTTCCCATTTTTAATTTTCCCGTTCCTCGTTTTAGTAACGTCCTTAACCGTGTAATGTATCGGTCAAATCGAAGCTTCAACATGCCCCCCCCGGGCATACCCCGGGCATTTGACACCTTTGCCGTCCCGGGGAGGCGTGAATTTGATTATCAGAGTCTTCCAGGGGGTGGGGAATTTGATCCCCATGCTTTAGGGGTGGGGAATTTGAACTCCACCGTCGATTTCATTTAAAATATTTGGCGTGGCGAGCTATCATGGGGGACGCGGTGTTAGAGGATTTTCGTGGAAAAGATTGTGCCTTTGTGGCCAATTGGTTACGAGGAAAGAGCTTAAACAAGCTTTGTGCCGTATTTGAAGTATTTAAATTTTAAAATTTTTAATATTGGATTCAGGCTTTGAATGTATGAATGTATTTTATTGTTGTGTTTACAATGAAATACAATACCTATATCGGAGATTCAATACAACAACATAAAATGAAATAAAATAAAATAAAACGGTCAACTACTTTGACCTACTGCAAGTATCGTAATTAATAAGGTGAGCGATGATGCATGTCAGTGAAATGGTCATGATGTAGTAATCTCAATAGGTGGGATCTTTTTTATAGAACGCTTTGTATGTTGCATGACGAAGAAAAGCTGAGCATTCAGTGACCTTGTAGCGGCGATTTCCGCCGCTTTGCACGAGACTTTTATTCGTAGTAAATAGGCTAACAGTGTTGCTCAGTTTTTGTTATAGTTATAAAGATTTTGTTCGACAACTGAAGGTATTTCCGCCGTCCTTCTGTCATTTTTGTGCCTGTGAAATGTCCCCGGGGTGGGGGCATTTGATCACCTGAATGGACCCTAGTGTGGGGCATTTGAACGGCATTTTGGCCCGGGTAGGGGGGAATTGGAACAATAATTTACAAAAAAGTCAAATGCCCCGGGGGGTTGCCCGGGGGGGACATGTTGAAGCTTCGATTTGACCGATACATAACCTTGTTAATTGGGAAATGCAATGTGATCACAGTAACGGGGTAACATCACGTGATACTGGCAATTTCTGAACTATGTGATTGCAAATATAAATTAATTCTATTGACCAGCGGTGCAATGTTGATCAGGAAAAGGAAACGAGCACCCTTGTTAATTTATTTTAACGGTATCTCGTAGAAAGTGGGAAAAGGTGGTTTACGGCCTACTTGTGTTAATTAATTTTGTCGCCGATTGAAGTTCCTTTTCACTATCGTTTAATGATTTTTTTCTAGAACTTGACGAGTTTTTTTGACACTAATCGTTCGTGTTTTGTTGCAGCCTTGTGCGCAAGTCAGGGTAAAGTATATTTAGACTGTGGGCTCACATGTGAGAACTTCTTGATGAGTGACTCGGCGAGAGCGTCGCGTTGCAAGCCGGGATGTTACTGTCCGGGAAACAAGCTGCTTCTTGAAAACGGCACATGCGTGGAGAAGAGCGAGTGCGGTTGTAAACACAACAACAAGTTTTATCAAAAGGGGGATGTATCTCCTGTGGACTGTTCAAAGTATGTGATCGTGCCTGCTTCATTGTGAATTAGCTAAAGTGCGTTTTGTGAATATTTTGAGAATAGTATCCCAGGGTCCTTATTGGCCTTGTTGCCATTCGCTGCTTTAAAACATAACTTGTAAATCAAATCGAAACGGAAACGAGGAGACTGGAGGCGATATGTGTCCCGCAATCGTTTGTGGGATCGCCGTTGGGGATGCATCGGTCAGCTATTGGTCAATTTTTTCCCTGTCCCCAGTAACAGTCCTAATAATAGTAATAGTTAACTCGGCCTAGTTTCCTTCTCGTTTCTAACGTGGCGCTGAATAAAGGAGAAGAAAACTGGGCCGAATTAACTTTCGCAAAGACTTCTGGGACTGTTACTAGCGACAGGGAAAAAAATTGGCCAATAGTCGACCGGCAAATTGAAACAATTGCGAAAAACATTTCGGCACCAGTCCCTTTCTCTTTTCTAAGGTGGCGATTGTGAACTAAAAAGCGCTTAGCGACCGGGCCTGTGTTGCTTTGCATATGTATACAACAAAATCGAGTCAAACAGACTTGGCATGACTGCGATCGCTAAACTAAATGGGATCAGTTGTCTGTGGTGCTTGGGATTTACTGAATATGTCTGACGCCGACAGCGTTTGATCGTGTGGCAGAGCTTTCCAGATTCTTTGGAATCCAGGCTTAACCACCGTGCTTCATCACGGGTCAATACAACCTACAAGACTAAAACGGATAGTCGCATTCCTCTTATTAACTCTCAATATTTCTTTGGAACCTTGAGGATCTAAAAAAAACTCTCTGGAAGGCACGATTTTGAATAGAAATAATCTCACGCTAGACGTAAAGAAGCTGATATTGTTTCAATCTCTCATAGCCTTTACGTAAATGAATATCTTATAGTTGTCTGCAAATATTACAGTGGGCTTTCTGACACGTAAATTTCAGAACTAGTGTTCATAGAGTACGATATACTGCTTTCAGTGGGACGAATTTTAAGCTAGGAAGTGTAAATGCGGGATAACAACTGCCTGACCATTGCTTCCCATCAGCGTGACATATTTCTGATTATTTCGTGACATATTTCTGATTATGCGTCAGTGCTTCTTGACCAATTTTTTATTCATGTGTAACGTAACATTAATGCGAGTCAGTTGTGACAAGTATGTGACTTTTGAGTGGCAACTGATTCATGTTTGCGTGACTTTTGCGTGACGAATTTGTCCTTTATTTCAGGAAATGTAACGGTGCCCGTGAATGGATTTCTGACAATATGATCGAGCCTTCCCCAGAGTATGAATGCGCTGCGTACGGTCAAGATCAGTACCGCACATTTGACGGAAGATGGATAGTGTTTCATCATGAACGCTGCGAGTTTATTATGATGGAAGGAGATGGCGTCAAGATCTCGGTCAGGAACGAACCATGCAGGTTAAATTTCTGTGTTTTGTGGATCTAGAAATTGGTGAAACTATGAGTGTTTCTAGGTGTTGCGAGAGCCATTGTTCGTTAGCTGTGTAATGATGTTGGTGTAATTTCAGGTTCTTGAAGCTTTTTTTTATGCAGCTTCATTCTTGTTATCCATTTGCCAGGTAACTGGTTGTTGGAAACAGTAACTAGAAATTGATATCGGAGTTGAAAATCGCAAAACGACAGCGATCGTTGACATATGGTTTGGAAAAGGGTCATAAGTATGCAGCGTATCGCATGATTCAGATTTTACAGTTTCAGGCAGCGGGCAGCCTCCATTCCTGGGGTGGGTGTTGGGCGGGACACTTGAAGTGATTGTATTCACGCAGCTTCACGATTAACCACTCTAATTCTGTGCCGATCAATTTGCCAAATGTTGATATCCTGAATTTTTCTAATGGATTTCAGTTCTAAAGGGCTATATGTAAGTTGAAAAAAGAATTAGAAAATCGTTGTCCTGTGTTCACGTACTCCTCAAAACTTGAAATTGGAAAGTTTCACGTCGTGGACGAGCACCGAAGGAAAAAATAAGCACAACACACAGCGTGTTGCTGCATTGAGAATCTAAACCTGTTGCTTTTTGCCGTTGTTCAGTTGTTGTTTTCGTTTTCCTCGTTGCTTAATCTCCTTTTTAAAACAAGCCTTTTCGTTTTTATCCAGTAATTCGCTTGAACTACAGATGTGCAAACGAGTTGGTATTAAGTTGGAGGGCGGGAAGACATCATTGGATTTGTACCAAAAAGAGTTCTCCATTATCCAAAATGGTGCCAGCAAGAGTTACAAGCCGGGAGAATATCCCGAGCCGTGTCAGATGGAGATCCCCAATGTTGAGGTTTTCCATGTTGGTCTGTTCCTGATAGTTCGCATTTACCAGCCAAATAATCCTTTCTTTGTGAAATTTGAGGTGAGTTGAACTAAAAGTAAAGGTATAATTTTGATTGCAGCTTTACAACATTTCACTGAGAAAAATGGTTATTCTGCCATGAAGCAAACTCTCATTTTATGAAATTAAATCGCAATGAGAATTGTGTACAGTTGAATGTCCATTAAATGGCAACCTTTCACCCTCTATTTCGCGGCCAGAAATCAAAGTTCTGAAATAATTGTGCAAAAGAATGGGAAATTAAACCTCTATTAAGCGGCCAGCTCTATCAAGCGGCCGCGGCCACCTTTTTGCCGTTCCAACGAGAGTTTTCCCATTGACACCTTTATTAAGCGGCCATCAAGCACTTGATACACTAAGTTTCGCTTTGATACAAATACATTCCGAGATACAAGGTGACGTCCGATTGTGGACAATATGCTGCTCCCATCGCGCGCTAGCCATTTGTTTAAAAATAAAATGATGTTTCTGCTTAAGATTATGCTAATTTAAGAAGAACCTCTATTGAGCGGCCATCCTCCGCGTCCGCTTGCCAGTACCCCGAGGGTGGCCGCTCAGTGGGGGTTCAACTGTTACTTGTTACTTCTCCTATTGTAGGTGCGTTTCGATCAAGGATCTCGTGTGTATGTAACGCCTAATCCCTCGTATAAGAGCCAAGACAAATTAAGTGGTATTTGTGGTAACTTCAATGGACGTGACCAAGACGATTTGACGTTGCCGGACAAGAACACGGACGCCGCGGATGACACTGAGTTTGGTTATGCCTGGCGAGATGAAGAGGATTGTCCGTACCCTGTGAGTCTCGATCCTTGCTCGGATAATCCTGATAGACAAGGCTGGGCAGAGAAAGGTAAGTTGTAAAAAAAAAAATAACCGAAATCTCACATGGCGATGTAATTCAATTTTATCTCTGGGTAATTCTATTTTACTTTGTTTCAAACTCATTACCAAATATAACCATACCCAAAACTAATGGAGAATAAAAGATAATATTTCTGCACAGTCCCATACATTTATTAAGCATACACCTAACCTTTTGACCCTAGTCAAATAAACTGTTTGTGATAAAAACTATGGTATTGCTGCGTGCATAATAAATATATGGGGCTGTTCGGAAAGTTTACAAAATAAAATTTAGACCAGCGATGAAATTAAACCACAAAAGAGACAGTAACTATGTTAAATGAAGCGACGGAACCGATCTCGTATGTATGAAACTAATTCCAATCTTTTCTTTTCTTAACATTGCCTATTTGAACAACTGGGCCCAGGCCCCGGTTGTTTAAAAGATGGATAGTGCTTTCTACCGGATAAATAACTATCCCACGGATAAGTATTAGGGAAACCAATTGCACTATCCACTGGATAGAGATTTATCTGCTGGATAGCGCTGTCAACATTTTGACCAACTGGGCCCTGGCCCCGGTTGTTCAAACGTCGGATAGCGCTATCCACCGGATAAATCACTATCCAGCGGATAGCGTGATTGATTTCCGTAATACTTATCCGCTGGAACGGATAACTATTATGGATACCGTATTCCTTATCCGCTGGATAGAGATTTATCTGCTGGATAGCGCTATCAAAATTTTGAACAACCGGGGCCTGGACTATAGTTTTACCCACTGGCTTTTGAAAGCCAGTTCCTAGCAAGTTGTGAGTTCGTAATACCCTTTATTTCTGCTTTTAATTCTTACGTGTTGTAAATGCCAGGTTGTAACGAAATCAAAAGGAACGCCAACTTCACCGTCTGTCACGACACAGTGGACCCCGAGCCGTACTTCGAAGCCTGTAAGCACGAAGCTTGTCTGTGCCACAAGGGAGGCGACTGCGCATGCTTTTGTTCGGCGGTTGCTGCGTATGTGCGAGCCTGCAACCAGTACGGCATCTCAATCACGTGGCGTAGGGAAGGATTTTGTGGTGAGTTAAATAAACAGTGTAGTGGTCGTCATAGAATAGATTGAAGAAGAAGAAGTTGAGACCTGACGTGAACTCAAGTGAAGTATTACTAAATCAATCGCAACGATAATGGTGATGATACATACATACATACATACCTACCTACCTACCTACCTACCTACCTACCTACCTACCTACCTACCTACCTACCTACCTACCTACCTACCTACCTACATACATACATACATACATACATGCATACATATATATTTTATTGAAAGGACAATAGCGCAGTCAAAGACTGATGTGGTCCTTAATTAACAAATACACTAGAAAGATAATTTACGATATTACATGTGTTACGATTAACACAATTTCTACAACTGGAAACAACAATAGTTACAATACAACAGACGATTACAGCTACACAAGTGATACTAAAATTATCGTTATCAGCACAGCATTAAAAGTTAAAAATTTACAGATTAATAATAAAAGAAATCATCTAAATTTTTATTTAAATTCACGCAAGTTCCCTTCATATAACTACTCTGTTCCAGATTGCATTTCTTCAAGGTTACCTTAAATCTCGCTACATCATCTTGAATCCTTGTTTTGTTGTTGAGGCCATTTCCAAGGATTGGTCCTCTAATTGTGAACAGGGACCCTAAGATCCGAGGACGGCGACGGCAGAGAAAGCGTTGACCTCCTTCTGGTTGGGATTCTTACCTTTGTGGGTCACAATGAAAACTATTGGTTTGCTAGTAATTGTGTTACCCCTATAGAGTCAGATTGAACAGCGCGAAAGGCACACATTTAGGTGGACACAAGAGTTGGTGTCTGTTGAACTGTTTAAGGTCAAAAATACTCTAGAACACAAAAGCCATGGAAAAGTCATGGAAAGTCCTGGAATTTGAAGAACTTAAAAGAGGACGAACCCTGTTTAAAATGTAAATGAATAATAAGCTAATTCATACTTCTGCAGAGCTCCCCTGCTGTCGACCTTGTCAGAACACAGGTGGTTACCTAGCCAACATAAGTTTGCCCACTACCTGCGAGAGCCCCGCCAAAGATTGTCAAAAATTGGGTGCAAGGTGCTGCCGTGGGCCTCGAGTTGAAGGATGTTCCTGCCCTCTTGGTACGTTCTTCGACGGTAAAAAGTGTGTCAATCAAACAGAGAAATGTAGCAGGCCTTGTGTCGCCACAACAACTGTTGTCACGTCGTCCACGACCAGCAGTATATCAAGCTCGAGTAGCACCAGGTACGTAAAACGACATCGATTTATAATAGCCATAGGACTGTGCATGTGAGAGGTCGTTTCGGTCTGCAGCCATAACAGTGATAGCCAAAGTCCAATTTGATAAAAAAAAAACGGTTAAAGGTTTATAGTGAAAATTCCACTTAACTTATCCACCTAGTCTACTGGAACTCCACTCAAAAAATTTAGAACAAATAATTGTAATATACCATATTATAGGAAGTTAACGCTTCATGAAATTAACTCGAATTTCAGAAATTGGGTTAATTGCTGTAAACGTTAATTTCCGCGACCTCAATTTCCATGTTTTTGACCCCAAATTCTCAATACACTTCTGACGTTCTTGACACCTAAGAAAGAGGGGTATTTTATCAGGGTGGAGATTCGCCAGCGACAGTGAAACTGTGATGAACTTGAAGTGGCCAGATTTCTTCGCTTAACGTTTGAGTAAAGAATAGCCTGCGAAAACATCCGTTTCTCCTCGCTCTTCGCCGATGGCGACGGCCTCGCGAAACGTCCCCGGCGGCGAAGAGCAAGGAGAAACGGATGTTTTCGCAGGCTAAGTAAAGAACCACGAACAAAGTTTCCGTTTCGGATTTTACGTTTAATCTTCGTTCCTGTTGTCTCAGCAAGGTTTGTTTCTTTGTACACGTCGCGTAAATTTCCTTCATTTTGTATAGGTAATAGCATGATTTGTAGTGATATTTGGCATAAATACCACCAGTGATTTTTCAAAATTGTGATACGTAATTTGAGACAATTTATTGCAATTAATTTATTTATACTACTACACGCAAAGGTTTGTGATTTTCACTCATAGGTATTTCAAATTAAATTGTAAAACCACTGCTCTTAGCCAATCAAATTGAAGAAATTTCTCATGTGGTAATATAATAAATGTAACCCTCTCTTTCGCGTTAATTTCCTTTATTCGAAAGTCGTGTTTTACAAAATTCGCGTTAATTTCTAATACCTTAATTTCATGGAGCGTTAATTTCATATAATAACGTAACATATAACAGGATCCCCCCCCCCTTCCACACACACACACGCTTTTTAGTACATGTCTATGACGTCCACTGCACGACTACCACGTGGACATACGACGACGAATTTTCCTTCCTCTTTTTGAACTTGAATAAAATCCTTTAGAATTGAACTCTAGGAAAAGTCGCCTGCATTTGACACATTGAGCAGGTCCAAATAGACGCAGTTAAGTTTGAAAGAACGCAAATTCATTTTTTAGCGACGTTTTCACTGCCGTCGTGGTCGTCGTTTCTTAAGGTCCCTATTTACAAGCGTGGCCGAGGAGTGCGACTCGAACCAAAGACCGCCGGATTGCGAGTGCGATGCGCTAACCACTCAGCCTCGCTCTCTTCAAAGCGTTCTCTCCCCTTTGTGTCTCATTACAAATATGACTACAGAATGAATTGGACGACACGAAGTTATCTTTTTAGTTGCTCAATACTTAAGCAAAATGTCCGAAAAACGGTAAAGGTTTCAGTGATTTGTTCAACAAAAGGACAAAGATCGTCCCCCGTGTCTTGCTGTTCTTCACTTAGGCGTAAAGAGAAAAAATAGTGACTTTTAAACTGTCGCATTACCGCGGAGGTTACATCTTGCTGTCCAATTCCTTAGATATCTCGCATTCTTTCACGTTACACTTTCCTATTAATGCTGAAATTGGGGCTAAAAAATAGCAATTCAGATTGAGGATTTTGTTCTTAATTATAATAAATACTTTCATTAATGATATTTACATAAACATGACTTTTTGCACTCTTCTAGCTCGTCCATTTCAAGCACCTCCAGTGTGTCCACACCCACTACTACAACTTCATCCTCGAGCGTCAGCACAAGTGTGTCAAGCAGTACATCATCGAGCTCATCGAGTTTAAGTGTTTCCACACCAACGACAACAGTTTACTCGACATATTCAAGTCCGAGCAGTTCAACATCAACTTCATCAAGTTCAAGTGTGAGCAGTTCTACTTCAACGTCGTTGAGTTCCAGTGTGTCGACGCCCACTACAACAACTTCATCGAGTAGTGTCAGTACAAGTGTGTCAAGCAGTACATCATCCAGCTCGTCTAGTTCGAGTGTCTCCACACCAACGACTACGGTGTACTCGACGTATTCAAGTGTGAGCAGTTCAACTTCAACTTCGTTGAGTTCAAGTGTGAGTAGCTCAACTTCAGTATCGTCAAGTTCCAGTGTGAGCAGTTCAACTTCCACCTCGTCTAGCTCGAGTGTTTCAACATCCACGACAACAACGTCATCCACTAGGTAAAGTAGTTTAAAATTGCAGAAGGAATATTGGTTAGTTTCGTATTAGCTTAGCTATGAACAACAACGAAAACAGAAATTACCTTTTATAAGCAGGTAGTTAAAATTGCCTGCTACCGTCACTATGACATTTCAACGTTTACAGGTTACAGGTTGTGTTGGTCATGTACAGGTGTTTGCAAGACCGTGAAATGAATCGGACGCTAATCGCTTGTTCAAGTGTAATAAGCACCAAAAAGCGTTTACGATCAACATCATGGCAGCTTCGTGTTACACAGCGCTGCTTCTAGCACCTCTGCTGCTCCTTCAAACGAGGATTATATTGGTTGATGGTGGAGGTGGTTTTGGTAATAATATTAATGGCGACAATATTGGCGCTGATCACTGTTTAAATGATGATGAAAGTTAATAAGACAGATACGTCACAGTGGAACCGCCTCAATACAAAATATTGGCAACCAATGTGATATTTGAGTCAGGAAACATATTGACGGACACAAGGAATGTAGAGTTAGGCCGCTAGGGGAAGTTGTTGCTAGAAGTTGAACCGTTGCACAGAAATCTAATGTGTGAGTGCGTCTCTTTTTGGTAAAGAGAGGCTGCGCGTTTGAAAATAAGGTGGACAAGCAATTAGGCAATTCAAAGAACCTGAGTCATTTCAGACGACAACATCATTGGGTGGTGAGGTTTAGTCGTGAGCCTTGTAGGGCACGCAGACACAGGCGTTGGTGTGTGTGGAAAGGGACTGCTGTGGGTCCACAGTAGTTACCGAATGCTAACAAGTCTAATTTACCTAATGAAAGTATAAACTTACCTTTAGACAGTGATTGGGTAATCATGAAATAGGATCATTTTCCTTTCTTGAACAAATTTTAACGTAAGTGTTTTCTTCAGTTCCGCGTCGTCTACAACAACAACTTCATATAAATCAGTTTCTCAAAAGAGCACAGCAACTGTTTATCCATCCACTGTGACCAGAACTACTGGGACAGAATATTCTGTTTATCCGTCGAGTAGAACCCCACCAAGCTTAAAGCCACCCTCGCAAACATCGACGTCGAGCACTTCATCTAGCAGATTGGCACAATGTACCCTTATAATGTACAAAAATGTATGATTGTTTTGACTACAGTCATGTAAAACTAGATTTACAAGAAAAAGATGAAATTTGTAATTGGAAATTTTACTTTTGTTAATGCTCATAGCTTTTTGACAGTTTGATGGTCGAGTGACTTTGCAGCTCCACACCCCTGACCTAACGTCAATGTCAAGTAGTAGCAAGGACGCCGGGAGATTAAGTCATGCGACACACATATATATGGTTGTTTAGCGGTCCGTCTAAATCTAGTACAAATAAACGTGAGGAATTGAAAGGATAAGTAGAGACAAGGGAAGTGCTGTACGGAAGTATAAGGTACCCAATTAGAAGTACAACAGTGGGGACGTGATGTTTAACAAATGACGTGTATAGTGAAAACCCTTCACCCTTTTTTTTTTTTTCATACTTGTGTTTCATTGCAAAAAAGGAGGCGTGTCAGGAATGAAAAGTCATTTATTGTCAAAAGACTGTCCATTTTTGACGAAGGCAACTCAGAGCCACTGAAAAAATCGTTTTTTTAACGTTAAACACTTTAAACGTTACGTACCCTAGTACAGGGTACTACAACAGTCTTTTCAATATACAAAGCAGAGTACCCGCAATGGTCTTGACAAATGATTATTCCTTGTCAGTTCTTCATCCAGTTCTTCATCGACTTCAAGTGTGTCAACACCCACTACATCTTCATCCACATCTGTCAGCTCAAGTGTGTCGAGTAGTACTTCTTCAAGCTTATCGAGTTCAATTGTGTCAACCCCATCGACAACAGTGAGTAGCTCAACGTCAACTCCGTCTAGTTCCAGTGTGACCAGCTCAACGTCAACTTCCTCAAGTTCCAGCGTGTCCACACCCACAACAACAACTTTGTCTACTAGCGTCAGCACCAGTGTGTCAAGTAGTACATCGTCCAGCTCGTCGAGTTCAAGTGTGTCTACACCAACAACAACAGTTTACTCGACATATTCAAGTGTCAGGAGCTCAACTTCAACATCGACTAGTTCCAGCGTGAGTAGCTCAACTTCAACTTCGTCGAGTTCAAGCGTATCCACACCAACAACGACAACTTCTTCCACGAGCGTCAGCACTAGTGTGTCAAGCAGTACATCGTCCAGCTCGTCGAGTTCAAGTGTGTCTACACCAACGACAACAGTTTACTCGACATATTCAAGTGCGAGTAGCTCAGCTTCAACATCAACTAGTTCCAGCGTGAGTAGCTCAACTTCAACTTCGTCGAGTTCAAGCGTATCCACACCAGCAACGACAACTTCTTCCACCAGCGTTAGCACTAGTGTGTCAAGCAGTTCATCGTCCAGCTTGTCGAGTTCAAGTGTGTCTACACCAACGACAACAGTTTACTCGACATATTCAAGTGCGAGTAGCTCAGCTTCAACATCAACTAGTTCCAGCGTGAGTAGCTCAACTTCAACATCGACTAGTTCCAGTGTGAGTAGCTCAACTTCAACTTCGTCGAGTTCAAGTGTATCCACACCAACAACGACAACTTCGTCCACCAGCGTCAGTACAAGTGTTTCAAGCAGTACATCTTCCAGCTCATCGAATTCCAGTGTTTCCACACCGACCACAACAGTGTACTCCACGTATTCAAGTGTGAGCAGTTCAACATCAACTTCGACTAGTTCCAGTGTGAGTAGCTCAACTTCAACTTCGTCGAGTTCAAGTGTATCAACACCAACAACGACAACTTCGTCCACCAGCGTCAGTACAAGTGTTTCAAGCAGTACGTCATCCAGCTCATCGAGTTCCACTGTGTCCACACTGACCACAACAGTGTACTCCACGTATTCAAGTGTGAGCAGTTCAACATCAACTTCGACTAGTTCCAGTGTGAGTAGTTCAACTTCGACTTCGTCTATTTCCAGTGTGTCCACACCCACTACGACAACTTCTTCCACGAGTGTCAGCACAAGTGTGTCGAGCAGTACATCATCCAGCTCATCCAGTTCGAGTGTGTCTACACCAACGACAACAGTTTATTCTTCGTATTCGAGTGTGAGCAGTTCTACTTCAACTTCCGTGAGTTCGAGTGTGACTAGCTCAACTTCAACTTCGTCGAGTTCAAGTGTAAGTAGTTCAACCTCAACTTCGTCTAGTGCGAGTGTATCTACACCCACTACAACAACTTCCTCCACCAGCGTCAGCACAAGTGTGTCAAGCAGTACATCATCCAGCTCATCGAGTTCGAGTGTGTCTACACCAACGACAACAGTTTATTCCACGTACTCAAGTGTCAGCAGTTCAACATCAACTTCATCTAGTTCCAGTGTGAGCAGCTCAACTTCAACTTCATCGAGTTCCAGTGTGTCCACACCCACTACGACAACTTCATCCACGAGTGTCAGCACAAGTGTGTCAAGCAGTACATCATCCAGCTCATCGAGTTCAACCGTGTCCACGCCAACTACAACAGTTTATTCCACATATTCAAGTGTGAGCAGTTCTACTTCAACTTCCGTGAGCTCGAGTGTGAGTAGCTCTTCTTCAACTTCGTCGACATCAAGCTCTTCTAGCACTTCATCGTACAGCAGTTCTAGGTATGGATAGTATATGGTGTTAAATGTTGGCGCTGCCAATATTCAGGCCCATGCCATTCTTGTTAATTATTCTAGGCACTTGAATTTGTGGACGGGCTTAATACTAAAGCAACTAGTATTACAGAAAATTAGTTTTTTAGTTGCTTAAATTTCCACATTCTGACTTCTGCTTTGGACTTCCGGGGTAGCCCACCGTTACATTCCAGGAATATTGAAGATAATATAGATGAACATTTTCTGTGTTGACAATTTAGCCCAGTCGCGTGACGGTTATTGCTGAAGTGATCATATCACCAACCTTGCTTTGTCACAAATTACAGCTTTAGTTTATTGGTTTGGTTGTGCTTATAAGTGGTATTCTTTGATTGTGGCAAGAATCGTATAGTTTTGCCTCAACCCGTTGTGAATTTTGAGGGACCAAGAACATAATGAGGCTATGTCGGGAAACGGTGATGAAAACGTGGAACAAGCAATAGTTGTTCAAAAGGTGGATAGCGCTATCCATTGGATAAAGTTCTCCCCAGTAGATAACGCAATTGGTTAGCCTAATAGTGATTTAGCCGGTGGGTAGAAGTACCCAACTTTGAACAACCAAGGACGGATGATGTTAAAGGTTATGCCTGGCAAGATTGAGGAGGGCTCTATGTTCCTGATAATTTTCATAGATTCTAGACGATGATGATGATGTTGGTGACGATGGTGAGTGTTGATGATCAGATAAGATGAGCAGTGGATAAATGGCAGTGGATAAATTGTAGCAGGTTTAATATCTTAAAATTTTGCTACAAGACTGAAGCAATATACCTATGTAATTATATTTGGCGAAGTGCTGTGATGATAATGGTGATGATGGCGATGATCACGATGATGATGCTGGTGACGATGATGATAATGATGTTGATAATGATGATGATGATGATGACGATGATGATGGCGGAAATGGTTAAGGTGGAGATGGTGACTGGGGGAAAACAAAGGCATTGCTTTTATATGTTAAGGTTATATCTTACGAGATGGGCCTTAGATAGCGGTCGTCCATAACTTAAATAAGTAAATTTTTTAAGTAATATTAAGTAGCTTCTAATAATGTTACCAGACTGAACGATTTGATTCGTAGTATCCATGAGTAAAAGGGAAGGATCATTACGAACGTCTTTACTGAGGGTATGAACTCTTTCAATCCTAACGCTTAGCTCACCGAGTCTATTCACACAAGTTCCTCCATCTTCAAAAGTGACATCTGTGTCTTCATCAAAATCAGAGTTCACAGTGTCGTCCTCAAAATCTAAGTCCAGTCCAGTGTTCCCTTCTCCGTCTTCGGTGTCTTCCTCGACGACATCCGCTTCATATAAATCGGCTTCTCAGAAGAGCACAGCCACCGTATACCCATCTACCGTGACCAGAACTACAGGGACAGAATACACTCTTGCTACATCGAGTAGAACCCCACCAACCTTGAAGCCACCAGTGCGAACATCAAAATACAGCTCCCCATCAAGCAGGTTACTATCATGAGTTTAGCGAGGGTTTGATTACTGAGGGGATGGGTGAGAATAAAGGACATTTCACAGGAAATAGTAGTTGACAATTATCGAGGGATGAGCAGCTGTGAATGTCAACGAGCCTTTTTCATCAAGCAGGTTATCCGTTGATTGGGTCAGGTTATGAAAACGAGTTTTGCAAGGATTTTATTTCTAAGGGAATGCTTTGGGATAAGAGAGGTTGGGAAAGGTCACAGTGCATATTAACAAGCTATAATTGATATTCCTTGTCGTAGTAAGGCAAAGGAATAAAGACAGGGTGATGGGTCATTCCAAGGAATCCCAGGAATGGAGAAACGTATGGGTTAAAATTGGAGAATTCGCAAGATGGACTAGCATTGTAAACGCTTTAGTTGGAAAGCGATTTCAGCTACACCCAACGATTAACTTTATGAGGTAGCGGTGCGGTTAGGTTATTAACGTCATAACTTGCTGCCTTCCTTCAAACGCATTTTTGCTGTGACTTTTATGAATTGCGATACCTTAATGTTTGTCAGTGTTCTAATCTCTTGTAACAACAAACAAACTGACCTCATGTTTCTTGCGTAGATCATTTGCTTATACTGTAATGATCTGTCTGTTACAGCCAGCGATATTGTTAGTAACAATTGGATGTCAGTAGATTTTAGGGTGTACAAAGGTAACTGAATGTACCGGTAATCTAAGGCTTTTAAGCTCTGCGAAACGAAAGGGCGTCGCTGGCCTTAGGGCCAAGGCTAATCTTTGAATTCTGAAGGTGATGTTGACACATCAACTTTTCCAAGGTTCAGAGTAAATTTTACATTGTTAAGCTCTCATCAATTGGAACGCATGAAATAAACTAAAGAGAAGGGAGGGGAGTCGGAAGGAAATGCCATTCCAGGCATAAAAGATTGCTTGAGAAATGTCCGTTGTTCATGTTACAAGTGTTAGAAAAAAAAAATGTAAATGACCTAGGTTGGCACTTGGGAAAGGAAACATGGCTCGGGTACCTTTTCGTTTTCGGAAAGGTTGTTTGTTAGCAAGGCCACGTCCGTCGTTCTCATGATATATAGAGGATATTACACGGTGGCGAGAAGATATGAATTTTATGTTCGAGTGGCGAGAACAATATCTCACTCGTTCGCTTCGCTCACTCGTGAGATATTGTTCTTGCCACGAGAACATAAAATTCATATCTTCGAGCCAATGTGTAATGTTCTTTTTATTATATGTAGAAACCAATTCAACAAAAGCCAAAGGGCGGGAATCGTGACGTCATTGAACGATACGACACTCAAAAAGGTGACATACGGAAAATACGCCACTCGGGTCCCGGATGAAGTGGCGTATGGAATCTACGAGTGGTTTAGTTCCCAGTAAAACACTCTCCTCCATATAATAACATTAGCTATGATCAGTAATGTTGAAAACATCCTGTATGGTACTAACTAGCTTTTGTAAACTGTAATTACGATAAGTGAATGAAATACTGATAAATAATAATAATGATATCATTTTGGTCAACCCCATTTCACAGTACTTCAAGCTCTAGCAGCTCCACTTCAACTTCATCAAGTAGCAGTGTCAGTAGCTCAACTTCAACTTCCTCCAGTTCAAGTGTGTCCACACCCACTACAACAACTTCATCTTCTACAAGCGTCAGCTCCAGTATATCCAGCAGTACATCATCAAGTGCGTCAAGTTCCAGTGTATCCACACCAACCACAACGGTTTCCTCGACATATTCAAGTCCGAGCAGTTCAACTTCCACTTCATCCAGTTCTAGTGTGAGTATCAGTAGCTCTACTTCAACATCATCAAGTTCTAGTGTGTCGACGCCAACTACAACAACTTCATCTTCTACGAGCATCAGCTCAAGTGTGTCAAGCAGTACGTCATCAAGCTCATCAAGTTCCAGTGTGTCCACGCCAACCACAACGATTTACTCGACATATTCAAGTGCGAGCAGTTCAACTTCGACTTCATCCAGTTCTAGTGTGAGTAGTTCAACCTCAACTTCGTCGAGTACCAGTGTCAGTAGCTCTACTTCAACATCATCAAGTTCTAGTGTGTCGACGCCAACTACAACAACTTCATCTTCTACGAGCGTCAGCTCAAGTGTGTCAAGCAGTACGTCATCAAGCTCATCAAGCTCCAGTGTGTCCACGCCAACCACAACTATTTACTCGACATATTCAAGTGCGAGCAGTTCAACTTCCACTTCATCCAGTTCTAGTGTGAGTAGTTCAACCTCAACTTCGTCGAGTACCAGCGTCAGTAGCTCTACTTCAACATCATCAAGTTCTAGTGTGTCGACGCCAACTACAACAACTTCATCTTCTACGAGCGTCAGCTCAAGTGTGTCAAGCAGTACGTCATCAAGCTCATCAAGCTCCAGTGTGTCCACGCCAACCACAACTATTTACTCGACATATTCAAGTGCGAGCAGTTCAACTTCCACTTCATCCAGTTCTAGTGTGAGTAGTTCAACCTCAACTTCGTCGAGTACCAGCGTCAGTAGCTCTACTTCAACATCATCAAGTTCTAGTGTGTCGACGCCAACTACAACAACTTCATCTTCTACGAGCGTCAGCTCAAGTGTGTCAAGCAGTACGTCATCAAGCTCATCAAGCTCCAGTGTGTCCACACCAACCACAACTATTTACTCGACATATTCAAGTGCGAGCAGTTCAACTTCCACTTCATCCAGTTCTAGTGTGAGTAGTTCAACCTCAACTTCGTCGAGTACCAGTGTCAGTAGCTCTACTTCAACATCATCAAGTTTCAGTGTGTCGACGCCAACTACAACAACTTCATCTTCTACGAGCGTCAGCTCAAGTGTGTCAAGCAGTACGTCATCAAGCTCATCAAGTTCCAGTGTGTCCACACCAACCACAACTGTTTACTCGACATATTCAAGTGCGAGCAGTTCAACTTCGACTTCATCCAGTCCTAGTGTGAGTAGTTCAACCTCAACTTCGTCGAGTACCAGTGTCAGTAGCTCTACTTCAACATCATCAAGTTCTAGTGTGTCGACGCCAACTACAACAACTTCATCTTCTACGAGCGTCAGCTCAAGTGTGTCAAGCAGTACGTCATCCAGCTCGTCTAGTTCGAGTGTATCAACACCAACGACAACAGTGTTCTCGACATACTCAAGTGCGAGTAGTTCGACTACTTCTTCGTCAAGTTCTAGTGTAAGTAGTTCCACGTCGACTTCGTCGAGTTCCAGTGTTTCAACACTCACCACAACAACTTCATCTTCTACGAGCGTCAGCTCAACTGTGTCAAGCAGTACATCATCCAGCTCGTCTAGTTCGAGTGTGTCCACACCAACGACTACGGTGTACTCGACGTATTCAAGTGTGAGCAGTTTTAGTACTTTAAGGTATGAACGCAGTATGCTAGTAGCTGAAGTTGTAAATCGTAGATTTACGCTCAGAATTGAATTATTCAGTCTAAGTCTGAATGTGGTTATCAGATTATGGAAATTAACTGTACTGAGTTTTTTTAAATGGCAAACACTGCGATTTTTATGTTAGAGGTATACTGTGATACTCTGCAGTAGTTATATTTTGGTGCTTTCTCTCTGGTTCTCGTTTAGGCACTTTCGTTTTCGTATATTCTCACTTTCTATTTTTCCTACGCTGTTTGTAAACAATGTAATATGCATACGTCAAGCATATTGAGTTCTTGAATGAGAACGTCCTCGTGAATTATAGTTTTTACGGTTATTTATTTTACCTTCCCGGTCAAGCTCATACAAAGTTTCCTTTTAAAGATTACTGAAATGGTGCAAAGTCTCTTTTTCTTGTCTCAGTTGCTCAAGTATGTCACGATTAGATTGGTCGTTTGTCAGTTGATCCGAGGGTAGAACATGGGTGATGCGTTCTATTACTTTCAATTTTTGGTTAGTTTTGTTTAAGAGACTTTAAGTGCTGTGTTATGTTGTTTTAAATTACCTAGTTAGTACTTTAGCAATTTGCAAAGTAGCCTCCTACTTAGACATTCTTAGGGGTTCGTTACGCGTTCCTGTTCCTCGAACGAGGTTCGTCAGGGAGAATTGCCGGATGACCCAAACGAACGTCTGCGTGGGAGGCAATTCGCAAAGGCGACGGAACACCAACTACGTCCATTATTCCAACTGCGACCATTTGTGGCTGACAACGCCTTTGCACACAATATGTTAATAAAAAACGTTAACGTCAACGAGAGACGAGTGACAACTCGAGGTGTATGTTAAGAAGAGTCAAGTATCACGTGTTTTCTTGAAAATTGTTTTGTTTTTTATAAACACAAATTGGCTTGAATGGATATCCCCATCTTTTCAGGCAAAATTTATTCTCATTATACACTTGCCTGTTACTTTATTTTTATCACGTAACTTATTTTTCAACGGATGTCTAGTAAAAAGAAACAAACTGTAAACGTGTACTTGCTCTGATGACTTTTTTGTGGCTTCCTTTAACCATCTAAGTGTTATTTTTGTTATCGTGCCTTTTTGCTTACATTTGATTGCTGTCTTTCTTTGTTTAAGTTACCTTGCATTCTGGTAGAAACTAATAATGGCGTTTAACCGACTAAATTAATTATACTCTTCCTCAGTTCCACTTCTACATCAAGCTCGCCATCCTCTTCGACGACTTCCACTCCATATAAATCCGTTTCTCAGAAGAGCACAGCCACTGTGTACCCATCTACTGTGACGAGGACCACAGGGACAGAATACACTGTTGGAACATCGAGTAGGACGCCGCCAAGCTTGAAACCGCCGTTACGAACCTCGAGATTAAGTTCATCGACCAGGTTACTAGCCTTGTTTATTTATGCGAAAGCAGCGAAAAACTAAAAGCTCTTATAAGCAAAGCAGCAACTCTGCAAATGTATCAAACTTTTTGGTAAATTTCTCTTTTGTCATTAGACCACTACGTCGTACGGTTACTGAAGTTTACGTTTAGTGGAGGACAACTACAAAAGACGACCAATTTTTTTCTGAACGTGAGAACGTGTTGTACGAATTAAACTAAAGGAAAATATGACTTTATCCGACATGCTAAACAGATGGAATTATACTGATGCAGTTTCAAACACCGCGAGTTCACTTTTTAAGTGACGGTCTCGCTGCTGTCGCCATCGCCGTCGCTGTCTGGATTACTTTTTATGGATCTTAAGCAACAACAAAGGCGACAGTTGCGAATATCTCGCTCTGCTTCAAACGTCATGATTCTTATTCCATGTCGTTCATTTCGTGAAATGTTGGCATGTTTTTCTGCAGTTGATTTCTCAAAGACTGTATCAAAGTTCAGGAAAAGAAAAGAAAGTCGTCGTCTTGTGTTCACGTCCTCCCCAAAAGGTGTAATTAGGCATTTTCACGTCGTAGTCGTGCACTGGGAGCAAAGAAATATACAAAAAAGCGTGATGCACGTGCGGAGTTGTTGTTTTGCCAATCTAAACGTATTGCTTTTTTGCTGTTCTCGTTGATGTCGCCGTCTTCGTTTCATGAGCTCCCTAAGAAATATGACCCAATTGCATAGCTAATAAGCCGTTTCAACAGACTGTCAATCGAAATGCTAAGGGAGGCATAATCACTTTTTGTAGTAACAATTCTCCATTCGAAGATTAGCTTGCATTAAGGATTAACATGATCTCGTAATCACAGAATCTGTAAGGCCAGAATTTGACACAAATAAATGATCTTCACCAGCCAACGTCGACATAGACAACCTAAAAACATCCCCATAGGAAGTTTGTAGTCGTTACGTAATGCTGAAAGTGTAGTTTCCTTTTCACTTCAGTCGTAATAACTCATAATGGTCTGTGTCTGCTTCGTGCTACATAGACCAAAAGAAATCCTTTCTATAAAATAAAATGTTATTTATGGCTACCCTGCGCCACAGACGAAACTAAACCTCTTGTCAAGTCCGTGTGCGAACCAACGCTAAAATCCTTGTTCTGGGCCCCAGGTTGGTACCAAGATTCGAGTAGGCGCCATGAATGACTTGCTAAAAAAAATTCAATTAATGTCAGTCGGGTGGAAGGGAAATACAAAACGCATTTCTGGTAATTTGTTGAGTCCGTCGAGGCCCAGAAAGAGGAGTTAGCCCTGCTTCACAGAAATTACTAGCCGAGGTTAGATAGTGTCTGCAACGCATGCTAATAGAGACCTTTAGATTCTAAGACGAGTACGAGATTTTCTCAATACTAAGTGTTGCATGCGCGTGAGTCAGCGTGATTTTGGCGGGAAAACATGGTAGCCGTCGTCACTCTACGACGAGTTTTAGCGAGAATGTCGTGCTGGCAAAAGCAAGATATCAAATGTTACATGTTTTATCATTTTGCGTTCGGGAGAGCGCGTAACCTCCTTCACTAAAGATAACAATGCTAACTTTTCCGGTGAAAAATGGTAAAATGAAGCTTTCCGGGAAGTGATATTTTGAGAAGACCCGAAAAAACTGCAAGCCAAACCTCGTACTTGTCGTCGTCCTCGTCCTCGAATCTAAAGGTCTCAATATATGGCATAGCCATTCAGAAGTCAAACTAACCACTGTTTACAAACCTTCCACCACTTATAGTTCGACAAGCTCGTCTAGTTCAACTGTGAGCAGTTCAACATCAACATCATCCAGCTCTAGTGTGAGTAGCTCAACTTCAACTACGTCGAGTTCAAGTGTGTCCACACCAACAACAACAACGTCATCCACGAGTGTCAGCACCAGTGTGTCAAGTAGTACATCATCCAGCTCTTCAAGCTCAATTGTTTCCACACCAACTACAACAGTCTATTCTACATATTCAAGTGTGAGCAGTTCGACTTCAACTTCGTCAAGTTCCAGTGTGAGCAGTTCGAGTGTCAGTAGTTCAACGTCAACTTCGTCAAGCTCCAGTGTGTCCACACCTACTACAACAACTTCATCTACGAGCGTTAGCAGCAGTGTGTCGAGCAGTACATCATCCAGCTCTTCAAGCTCAAGCGTTTCCACACCAACGACAACAGTCTACTCGACATATTCAAGTGTGAGCAGTTCGACTTCAACTTCGTCAAGTTCCAGTGTGAGCAGTTCGAGTGTCAGTAGTTCAAAGTCAACTTCGTCAAGCTCCAGTGTGTCCACACCTACTACAACAACTACATCTACGAGCGTTAGCAGCAGTGTGTCGAGCAGTACATCATCCAGCTCTTCAAGCTCAAGCGTTTCCACACCAACGACAACAGTCTACTCGACATATTCAAGTGTGAGCAGTTCGACTTCAACTTCGTCAAGTTCCAGTGTCAGTAGTTCAACGTCAACTTCTTCAAGTTCCAGTGTGTCCACACCAACTACAACAACTTCATCCACGAGTGTCAGCACAAGTTTGTCAAGCAGTACATCCTCTAGTTCTTCAAGCTCAAGCGTTTCAACACCAACGACAACAGTGTACTCGACATATTCAAGTGTGAGTAGTTCAACTTCAACATCATCGAGTTCCAGTCTCAGTAGCTCTACTTCAACCTCATCTAGTTCTAGTGTGAGTAGTTCTACTTCAACTTCATCAAGCTCTAGTGTGTCCACGCCTACTACCACCACTTCTTCTACCAGTCTAAGTACAAGTGTGTCAAGTAGTACATCGTCTAGCGCATCAAGTTCAAGTGTATCCACACCAACGACAACAAGTGTTTCAAGGTAAGAACTTAACACGAGTTATAACTGAAGTTGTAGATTTTTGATTGAACAATGGAAACGAGATTATATACTCTCCGTGTTCGTTAGGTTTTTAATTTAATAGACCTGGCGCGCTCTGGGTTGATTTTCCGGGTGCTCATTTTAAGTTATTG